ATTCATTCATGAGGCAATAGCAAACATGGTACCTGACCATCAGAACAATATAATATAGGGGGGTAGTTTTCAAGATGAAAAAAGTGTTGAATATGCTAGTTAGAAAAACCCCTGAGTAACAAATTGGCATTCACTATTCAACTTAATTGAATAGTTATTCACTAATAGCACCTTTAAACATCCAAATATATGAAAAAGTGTGTGTGTGTGTGTATATATATATAATGAACACATAAATTATAAAGGTCAATACAAGAAACAGTAGAAGGTATATACAGTTAAATGATCACTGTGTCTTTTTTTTAAAGATTTATTTATTTATACAAGCACTGGGTACAGTCAGAAGTGCGGGAGGGTAAGAGGATTCACCAGAGCCAGAGGGGAGAGCAGAGCAGGCAGACTGATGAAGTACACTGCTGAGGGGAGCAGTGGGCGGCAGGAGAGGTCTGCGTGCCATGTGGGACCCTTGCCTGGTGGCAGGGATTGATCCAGTGCTGCAGAGGCTGTGGGCAGCTTCGCAACCCAGTGCTCAACTGCTGCGCCACTGGGGAGGCCCAGTAAGGTGTCTTTAATTCATTAAAGAAACTTACATTTTAGTAAAAAAAAAAAAAATAAAGCAGAATATTAACCTGAGGGTTTTGTTCAGGTGTTTGTGAATAATTATTTGGAATTAATTAATGGAATCTTTTATTTTTAATCTCCCCCCCCCGCCACAGACTCTGTTTTTTAAGACTCATGTGTATACATTATGTCTTTTAATTACACAGTGTTTGATAAGCAGTAGATATGAAATAAGAATTGAAAGAGGCAATGAAACTCTGATGCTTCTGATGGTCAGGTACCATGTTTGCTTTCAATTCAAATCACTCCTTGGTGTCAGGGTGCATAAGTTCTAAGATTAAAATCCACATATCCTCAAGTCCCTGTATAAATGGCGTAGATTTACATATAACCTATGCACATCCTCCTGTATACTTTATATCATCTCCAGATTAGTACGCCTAATAAGTAAATGCCATGTAAATAGTTGTTATACTGTACATTTTAGGGGACAATGACGGGGAAAAACATTCCATTTGTTTACTACAGAAATAACTATTGTAGGCCTAACTACAGAGTATGTTTTTTTTCAATCTGTGGTTATTTGAATCTGCATTTTTGAAGTAGTAGTAATAATAATAATAACAATCGTGAGTGATCCCTGATATAAATGCTTTTTGCACACCATCTCATTTAATCCTTATAGCAACCTTTTAAGTAGGTGCTATCAACAAGTAGAAGTTAGAATTTGAGGCTATTTAAAAGGACTGTGTATTATAACATTACCTATCTTGCGTAATAATTATTTGAATTCTTTTCCCTTACATTGCAATTTAAGGAAATTTTGCTGTGCTAATATATTTTAAAATATACTTTCAGAACACTAGGAAGATATTTCCAAATTCTAGCTGTTAGTTTGCCACCTTTCAATACAGGTACAAAAGCTGTTTCCTTCTGAAAGTGAAAATATTTTGGCAATTATTCATTTTATAACTAATGTAACATCCAGATTTTCATTTGTAGTCAACATATTTGGGAAAATAAGTAGAGAAATGAACCATTTAGATACCTCATAGCTCTTAAACGACTTCTCTCTGGAGTGCTGGGAATGTATGATCTCCTGTGACATAGAAGTTTTCACAACTGTTTTTAATTTTTAGGGGGAAAGAACTTTTGTTCCTACCTTTGGGGTACATTCATTGTTTACCTTGTAATTTGATTTAGAGAGGCATCTACTTTTTAACGCACAGGAACTAAGGATAATTGTTAGGTCACAAATATGTATATACTTTATTTTCTATGGTAGATATATTTTTAGAAGTTGCATGGGAAGTGAAGATCATTTCAGTGCTACATTTTCACAGCCCTCATTCTGCATTACTAACAGACCTGCTTGGCTTCCGCTTATTTGACTGTTGTTAACTGAACACACTGTCATCCCCACAGTGGTGACCACCACTTTTTTTTTTAACTACATTTATTTTCTTACATCATTGTTCATTTTTCTACAGTATTTGATTTCTCCCCTTAGGTGTAGGTCCTGTAGTTCTCCCACCAACATAGTACTTGTGAATCATCTCCATAGTCCCTTATGCTCTTCCCGCCCCTGTTTTAACTTGTTTCCCTTCCCTTCACCTCCTGGATGCCTCAAATCTATGGTCAGCTTGCAAGTTTTGCCTTTTTCCTGACCATTTGTTCATTTTCTCTGGATTCCACATATGAGTGAAACCATCTGATATTTAGCATTTTCCTTCTGACTTATTTCACTGAGCGTAATCCCAGCTCTATGTTGCCACAAATGAATGCATTTATCTTTTTGATGGCTGAGTAGTATTCCATTGTGTATATAGACCACATCTTCTTGATCCACTCATCTGTTGTTGCATATTTAGGTTGTTTCCATATTTGGCTATTATAAATAGTGCTGCAGTGAACACAGGGATGCAGTTTTCCTTTTGAATTAGTGCTTTTGTGTCCTTTGGGTGGATTCCTAAAAGTGAAATTGCAGGATCATGTGGTAGCTCTATTTTTAGTGTTTTGAGGATCCTCCACACAGTTTCCATAGTAGTTGGACTGGTTTATGTGGTGACTACCACTCTTGCCAAAAACAATGTCACCACCATAATCAGAAGTGTCACTGCAGGTAGAGATGACAGACCTTAAGTATTTGTGGCCACACAACTAAAACAACAGGAAAGATGCCAGAAAGTGCATCTGGGTCCATGCCAACCTCACAAAGTCAGCAGTTTCAGGGCTGCTTTTAGCTCTTGTTCTGGTAATACCCAATTTGGTGCAAAATTCATCAACAATCATGTGTATGCATTATGTGGAAACAGCTTCAGCTGCCTCATTACTGGCACTTCTGGCAAACTTCAACCTCCATAAAATCAGGGGCCATGTTCTTTTCCTTAGTTCTGGGTCTTGAGGTAATAGAACAAGGAGCAGATGCAGAATATTTATTAAGTGAAAAGTAGCACTTCTTGAAGCAATTGCTGTCTTGGTTTGTGCGGTTAGTCAGGAGATGGTGATTCAGGTTTGGAAACAATTGCTATTGTGCAGGTGGTTTATGTGTCTGAGGGATACAAGGAAGAGTCATTGCATATGAAGACACTCTTACTGTAATGGTGATGACTCAAGAAGAGGGAGGGCCTCTGTGGTGGCCTACGGGTTAAGTTTCAGCTCCATCACCACTACAGCCTGAGTTCAATCCCCAGGCAGGGAGCTGACCCACATAGGGTACAGCAGACTTCTCCTGTCTCACCTGCTGCTCCCCTCAGCAGTGGATCTCAGTCAATCCACCTGTTCTGCTCTTCACTCTGTCTCTGGTGAATCCTCTCAACCCCCTCTGGCATACATCCCAGTTCCTTCACATAAATAAAATAAAATGTTCAAAAACAAAACAAGAGAGGAATTTGTGAATTGGAGAGCATTTCAACCAGGAAGCACAAACCAAGCCCATACAGAGTGCCTCATACACTTGTATTCTCCAGTTTTGAAAAATTTAGGACCAGGATGTGACCTGGGACTCCTTCTATGGCTTTTCTGTCATTCTGGATGAGCCAGTCTGCATGGATTCCAGTAGTGTTAAACATCAAAAATAGCATAGGTGTACTCATATTTAAAAATACACAACCATGTCAGGAAAGATTGGGTAAAACTACCAGTGAAGATGAGGTTAAGCTAACTTTTATGGAGACCTATGGTTAAGTAAATTGTGGATTATGATGTAGAATGAGGTGAATTTCTTGCTGAATCATCGAAAACAGTAGTTTCCAAACTCTAATGTATACAGATCACTGGTGACTCTTATTTTTTTTTCCTACTTATTTCTCTCTATGTATTTTACATCTTTATTCATTTTTGTAGTTTGTTTTCTCCTCTTAGGTGTAGTTACCATAAAATCCCCACCACCAAGTCAACTGTGAACCATCACCATAGTCTCTTGTGCTCTTTCCACCCTTGTTTTGATCCCTCTCCCTCCCAATCCTCTGTTGAAATGTCTCTGATTTATAGTTGCCTGCTAGTTTTCTCTTTTTTCCCCCAATCCCTTATTTGGTTTCCCTATATTCCTCCTATAAGTGAAACCATCAGTATTTTTCTTTTTCCTTCTGTCTTATTTCACTGAGCATAGTCCCTTCCAGTTTCATCCACATTGCTACAAATGGTATAAGTTTTTCTTTTGTGATTGCTGAATAGTATTCCATTGTGTGTATAGACCATATTTTCTTGATCCACTTAGATCTGTTTTGGGGCATTTAGGTTGTTTCCATATCTTACCTTATTATAAATAGTGCTGCAATAAACATAGTGATTCAGGTATCCTTTTTAATTAATGTTTTTGTGTTTGGATATATTCCCAGGAATGGAATTGCTGGGTCATATGGTAGTTCCATTTTCATTAATTTGAGGAACCTCTACACAGCTTTCCATAATGGCTGCATCAGTTTGCATTCCCACCAGCAGTGTAGGAGAATTCCTTTTTTTCCAAATCTTTGCCAATATTTGCTGTTGCCAGTTTTTTTTTTTTGTTTGTTTGTTTGTTTGCTTGTTTTTCATATGGGCCATTGTCACTGGTGTTAGGTGGTTTTGAAATTATTAAAATGTAGATTCTGACTCAGGATACAGGCATACTTTGGGATTCCTAATCTGCTTTAGGTGATGTGGACTCTCCTGTTCTCTGCACAAAGCTCAGTCTGGATCTCAAACTTGGCTTCACATTAGACTCATAAAAAAAATAATGGAGAATTTCAATAGATGCTGATGGGGGCATCTCAATCCTAGGGCTTCTTACTTTTTTGGTAAGGGGCGTGGTGTGAGTATCAGAATTTGAAAAAAGCTCTGAGGAAAGTCCAATATACAGCTAAGTTGGAAAAAAAAAATGATGGGCTAGGCCTGGTTTCAGTGTGCTTTGAGAAAAATTACTCATCTTAGACATCTAATCCTGCATCTTTCCCTTGCAGGTTGCAGCAATCTATAAGGACTCAAGTATTGGAAATCTTATAAACATAGTTATTGTAAAACTAGTTGTAATTCACAATGAACAGGTAAGAAACAGGTCTAAAATTATCATTTTTTGTAATAGGTTTGGAGTGGGAATATACACATAGATCAGAAACATTTTACAAATGAGACTTAAAGTTGATGTGAAACTTGATTTGAAAAGGAGTGAGATTACCTTTTCTGTTGTGATGGAAACAAAATGGAATGATAGAGGAAGTGTCAAGAATCATTGATTAAAAATTCTAAGGTTAAACCCTAAACATATGGTTTACTTTTTGATATGCGCAAATGGTGCATTACTCTAGGTTGAAAATTCTATTTTTTTTAAAGATTTATTTATTTATGCATATAAGAATTGGGGTACAGGTCAGAGGTACAGGGGGTAAGAGGATTCACCAGAGAGAGTGGAGAGCAGAACAGGTGGATCTATTGAAATCCACTGCTGAGGGGAACAGCGGATGAGATGGGAAAGGTCTGCTGTGCCATGTGGGTCAGCTCCCTGGCTAGGGATCGAACTCATGCAGTGGCTGTGGATAGCTTCATGTACTGTGACTTAACCTCTTGTGCCACCAGGGAGGCCCTGAAAATTCTATTTTTGAAGGATTTAAAATAAGGTAATTTTTACAAGTAGTTTGACATTAAATATGGAATGATTACATTGTGAATATCTAATAAAATTACATTTTGATCCTAATTTTTGAGTATTGCTAAATACATTTGAGATGTGAGGGAAATTCATTTGTGTGAAAAAATGCTATTTGATAAATTGAGTGACAAAAGGCCAACACACTTGGAAGGAAAAGAGACCATGAGTATTTTGGTGTAATATTGAATTGCTTGCTTTTTTGTGTAGGAAGGACCAGTCATCAGTTTCAATGCTGCAACCACATTACGCAACTTTTGTTTATGGCAACAATCTCAGAATATTCTTGATGATGCTCACCCTTCCCACCATGATACTGCTGTTCTTATCACTAGGTACCATTTTAGAAATCACCCTTTCGACCCTGTTTACTCTTTCTCTCCTATGTGATCCTTGACACTTCTAAGTACCGAATACCAATAATACATACAAGTGTTCTGTGAGAACATGTGTTACAAATGATACTGTTGAAATAAAGTTTTTTACTTTCTTTCAGATCAGAATGCTGGTTGATTCCTTAGGAAATTAGCATTATTAGGTTGCTAAGTCATGTTTGGCTAATCAGAATAATTGCCTTAATATTATTATATTTCATAATAAATTTAATTTCCATATTATATTAGTGACAGAATAAGAAAGCTTAGAAAAATATTTGGAAATTGACATAGTTTTAGGACTAAGCAAGTTTTGTTCATTCTCTTGATCTTTCAGTCACTTGGAAAGAAGAGCTTTACAATTTATTTGGTTGCCTACTCTTTTGGACTCCCTGTACTTTTAAAAATCTGTTCTTTGTTTTGATGCCCAATATATGTAATGACTAGGCTGCTTTTTATAACCTTTTATCAAACCTAACAGCTTCTGCTATTATAAAATGATTACCCATTGTACTGTACAAACACCAAGACATATTGTAAATTCACACCTTCATTTTATTTATTTTTTTAGATTTATTCATTTATTCATAGAAAACCTGGGGTGTAGGCTAGAGGTATGGGGGGTTGTGAGAGGATTCGCCAGAGACAGAGTGGGGAGCAAAACAGGCAGATCTACTGAAATACACTGCTAAGGTGAGCAGTGGGCGAGACGAGAGGTCTGCTGCACCATGTGGGTCAGCATCCTGGCCGGGTATTGAACTCAGTTCTTGGTGCTGATAGCAAATATCAGTATATTTAGACCTTAGAATACTTTAGACTTGGGGGTCAAACAATCAGTTTTCTAGAACCCTGAAATGAAAATCTTTAGTCTATGTAAAATAGTTGACAGTTGTTCATGTGCTTTTTTTTTTTTTTCAGTTTTCAGAACTAAAGCAGAATTGACTTCATTTTTATATACAGTTTTCTGTCATTTACAGAATTAATCCAGGTTCTGCCCTGGATTGCAATTTGTAATTAGAGCTAAGCAACAAAGACTGGTAAGAAGAGAGTAAAGATAGGAGAGAAAAAAATATTCTTAGAGGAAAGCATAAGGAAAGACAAATGACATGTCAAATTGAATAGTGAGGCACTAAGTAATGTGTAATCAAACAATTCATTCAAGTTGGTAAAGTATGAGAACATTATTTATTATTTTGCGGCAGAGAATAATAAAACTCATGATGACATTGAAACATCAAGAAAATGATTATGGTGGAATATTTTAGGTGCTTTGGTGGTAGGTGTGGTGTGATAACATACATATATATAGGTACGAATTTGTACTCCTAGAGTATGTACTGTGTTGGACATCAAAATTAGCGTAGTCAACATAATTAAAAAAAGAAAAGATTATATTGCACATAGTACAAAAGTGAAGGCAGAAATGTAAAAAATGTACTTAGAAAGCTTTTCCTTGAACTTCATCAAAGCTTCAACTATACTCAAGCATTTCTATATACCACCTGTTGCTAATTGACATGCACTAGTAGTACATTACTCTAGGTTTAGACTTATTGAAAGTATAAGAAATGGATTTTGGAAAACAATTTGTTGTAATAGGCACACTGTGGTTGAAGATGCTTTATTTTTGCTTTGGCTTGTTGCAAAAATATTTTCTGAAAATGCTTCATAATACATTTTTTTTGTTTTGTTTTGTTTTAAGGGAAGACATTTGTGGAGCCAGAGAAAAATGTGATACATTAGGTAAGTTATTTTGGGAATGAAACATAGCTTATATTATTGTTTAATGAGTTATTTAAATAACATTTAGTCTGCCTTTTATTTTACCTTTTAATCATTTTGATTAGTTGTCTCCATTGATTACAATAACCGCTTTTATTGACTTTGCTTCTATAAAACTTAATAAGAATAAAGACTAATATTTATGAGCCAGGTATTGGATTTCATTTGCGATGCAAATCATATTTTAAAGTGTGATCCATATAAAATAATGCTTTAACCCATATGCAAGTTTAAAGTAAAATGGTAGAACAAATAGTCATGAATTCTCCACCAGATTTAGGAGGAAGGACTTTATTTCTCACCTTGATGGCCTATGCTAGGTCCTTATCAGATCCCTTGTGTTTCCCTACTTTCCCATTTGTATTGTGCTTCTCCTTGCTTTTTATTTTTTAAAAGATTTTAATTTAATTTTTATTTTATTAAAATTTTTTTTTACTTTTTTAAAGATTTATTTTATTTATTTATGCATATAAGAACAGGGATATAGGCTAAAGGTACAGGCCATGAGAAGGTTCACCAGAGAGAGCGGGGAGCAGAACAGGCAGGTCCACTGAAATTCACTGCTGAGGGGAGCAGTGAGCAAGACAGGAGAGGTCCGCTGCACCATGTGGGTCAGCTCCCTGGCCAGGGATCAAACTTATGCCACAGGGATGACAGCCTGAAACTTAACTCCTGTGCCACCAGGGGGACCATGGTTATCCAGTTTTAAAATGAATTTTCTTATATCATTCTTTTTATTTTAGTGTGGTTGAAGGATTTCCCTATCCTGAAATTCATCAGTAAAAGCAACTCAAAAAATTGAAAACAAAGATACTAAGTTAATTTAATGGAAGTGAGGGTTTTCAGTTTATAAATAACTAATAATACTGTTTTAATAAATAGGGGTAGTCCCTTAGGATCCCATAGTTTCTTAAATTTGCATTATTAAATCTATTACAAAGTGACTATTATAAAGTAAAACCTTTGTAAACACAATGGAGTATAGAGATTTCCTACATAAAGACGTTTTCAAAGTTTATTAAATAACAAGTCAGTGAATAACAAAATAAATCTGTTGAAGAAAGTAATTGCTCTGGTTTACAAATACTTTGATAGTGTAGTAATGCCCATGTAAATGCCATTTTAACTTGATACCATCTTCCAAATTGTCTAAGGATAAAAGCTTTGGAATAGCATGTAACTGACATCTCCTCTCATTTAACATAAACACTTATTTTACCAGATATACTATAAAACATAAAGATGTTTTCAAGGTTTATTAAATAACAAGTCAGTGAATATCAAAATAAATATGTTGTTGGGCCTCCCCGGTGGCGCAACGGTTGAGCGCTGGGTTGTGAAGCTGCCCGCAGCCTCTGCAGCACCGGTTCGATTCCCGGACTGCTCCTCGGCCACCGGAGGAGGGTCCCACACGGTGCGCAGATCTCTCCTGCTGCCCGCTGCTCCCCTCAGCAGTGTACTTCGGTCCTTCTGCATGTTGTGCTCCCTGCCCTGGCTCTGGTGAATTCTCTCTCACTCTCCCGCGATTCTGACTGTATAAATAAATAAATAAATCTTTAAAAAAAAAAAATCTGTTGAAGACAGTAATTGCTCTGGTTTACAAATACTTTGATAGTATAGTAATGCCCATGTAAATGCCATTTTAACTTAATATGTCTTTTAACTAGATACACTAAAATTTACTTTGCGGGGTCTCCCTGGTGGTGCAGTGGTTGACCACTGGGTTACAAAGCTGCCCGCAGCCTCTGCCGCGCAGGTTCAATCCCGGCCACTGGGTGAGGGTCCCACATGGTTTGCATACTTTTCCTGCCCGCCCACTGCTCCCCTCAGCAGTGTATTTTGTCAGTCTGTCTGTTCTGCACCCTGGTCTGGCTCTGGTGAATTCTCTCACCCTCCCACGCTTCTGACTATACCCAGTGCTTGTATAAATAAATAAATCTTTTTTTTTTTTAAATTAACTTTGTGTAAAGCTGTCTCCTATAAAGCAATACTTTAGATAACTGAAACTTTGACTTCCTCTTGACTTACATGGTGTCGTTGTCCACAATTTTATTTCCATAATTTTGCAAACCTTCCTTACTAAAGGTTATGTTTTGTATACAGTATTTGTTTAAATTTATGATTATGTTTGTAAATTTTTCATAATTTCTTCTGTATCTCCAGTGTTACATCTAAGGGAATTTTCCTTTCTTCCCATGCATTATAATCTTTAAATAGTCTTTTAAGTGAAATTAGTGAAGAATTGTCTATTTTTATTTTTCTGGAAATATCTTTATTCATTTTTCTGGGCGCCAATTCTGTGTTGACAGTTATTTTCTCTCAGGTTTTAAATATATCATTTCATTATCTTCTGATTTTGCCCTTGAAAAACCTGTAGTGTGTTTAGTGGAAGAATCTTTGGTGATCTTTTATTCACTAGTCATCTGAAAAACCTTTCTTCGTCTTGAATATAAGGCAGTTTTGTCAAAATTGTGTCTGTTTTTACTTTTCCTGCTTGGGATATTTGTAACTTCTGTATGTATTGATATATTTCAACTGTTCTAAAAGTTTCCCACCGTTATAATTTTTTTTTCAAATTTTGCTCTTTTATTTGATTTGTCTGTCTCTTGTGTGGCCCTGATTATATTTGTACTAGGATTCCTTATCTTGTTCTCCATACTTTCATTTATTTTTCTCTTACTGCTTCATTCAAATAGATCTGATATGTATTCTATAGTTTTTCTCTCTTGTGTCTAATTGGATATTTTACCTATCCTCTGAATTTTCCATTTTGATATGTATGTTTTCAATTTAAACATTTCTGGTTAGTTGTTATTGAAAATATACTCTTGGCCTCCCTAGTGGTGCAAGGGGTTAAGTACCACACTATGAAGCAATCCGCAGCCTCTGCAGCACAAGTTCAATCCCCGGCCAGCCAGGGAGCAAACCACATGGCGAGGCAGACCTCTCCCAACTCTCCCGCTGCTCCCCTCAGCAGTGTATTTCAGTCAGTCTGCCTGTTCTGTTCCCCACTCTGTCTCTGGTGAATCCTTTCACTCCCTGCATCTCTGGCCTATACCCCAGCTCTTGTATGCATAAATAAATAAATCTTAAAAAAAAAAAAAGAAAATCTACTCTTTCATTGTGTTTATTCTTTACTTTTTAAAAATACTTTCTTATATCTGTAATTGTTCATTGTGCTTAAAAATTTTCATATGGAGTATTTTTTTATTAAGGCAACATTGGGTTATAATGCTGTATATAATTTACTTTATTTAAAGATTTTTTTTCTAATTGCCTTGACCAAGTTACCTGTGCCTATACCCCATCTGCCTCTGTACCCCATGCCGTCCACCCTTTCCCCTGTTCCCTTTGGTAACCATTATCTTCTTTGTTTGTTAGTTCAAATTTTTATTTTTTCTGTTGTTTGCATGCCATCTGTGAATAGTGTAAGTTTCACTTCTTTTCCAATTTGGATTACTTTTATGTCTTTTTCAGGCCTAAGTGCTTCAGCTACGATTAACAGGACTATGTTGAATAATAGTGCTGGTAGTAGATAACCCTGTCTTGTTCCTGATCTTAGTGGAAATGCTTTCAGCTTTTCACCATCGAATGTGATACAAGCTTTAGGTTTGTCATATATGGTTTTTATAATGTGTACTTACTAAGTTCCATTTATTCCCATTTTGGGGAGAGTTTTTATCATAAATGAATGTTGGATCTTGTCAAATGCTTTTCTGGCATTTATTGAGATGATCTTGTGATTTTTGACTTCCTTTTTGTTGATCTGATAGATGACATTAATGATTTATGTAGGTTGAACCAGTAGTTTTGAAGCCTATTTGATCATTGTGGATTCTTCTCTTGATATGTTGTATACGATTTGCTAGGATTTTGTTGAGAATTTTTGCATCTATGTTCACTGGTAATATTGAGCTATAATTTTTGTTTGTACTGCCTTTGTTTGGTTTTGGGATCAAGGTAATACTGGTCTCATAGAATATATTGGGTAGATTTCCTCCCGCTTCAGTTTTCTTGAAGAATGTGTGTAAGGTAGTATTACATCTTCTTTTTAGGTTTGGTAGGACTCACTGGTGAAGCCAGCTGGTCCTGGGATTTTGTTCTCAGGGAAGCTTTTTATTACTCTTAGAGTATCAGCACTTGTGATTGGACTATTTAAATTGACTTTTTCATCTTGGTTCAATCTTGGAAGTTATATGAATCTTAGAATTTGTCCATTTCTTGTAGGTTGTCCAGTTGGTTTGTATAGAGACTTTTATAATAGGTACTTATTACTGTGTGTATTTCTGCAATATCCATTGTAATTTTACCCCTTCCATTCCTGAATCTATTAATTTGGGTTTTCTGTCTTCTTTGTAAGCATAGCTAATGGCTTGTCAATTTTATTTTTTCAAAGAGCGAACTCTTGGTTTCACTGATATTTTGAACTGTCTTTATTTTCTAATTATTTCTGCTTTAATTTTTATTATTTCTTACCTTCTACTGGCTTTTGTGGTTCCTTTTTCTAGTTTAACTATAGAGTTAGATTGTTAAAGTGGGATCACTCTTGTTTTTTTATTTGGTCCTGTATCGTTATGAATGTTCCACATAATATTGCTTTTAAAGCATCCCATAGGGTCTGGTAGCTTGCCTCTCCATTTTCATTAGTCTCTAGGTAGGTTTTTTTTTAAATTTCTTCTTTGATTTCTTCCTATTTCGCAATGTAAATAAATCACAGTGACCTTTAGAAAAATGGACTGTGAAAATGAAAGCATTTTTGTATCCTTTGTTAAGGATGATGATGATGATAATGGTAGATAGATCTGAGTGTTTACTATATATAATGTACTATATTAAAGCTTTACATGACTTAACCTATTTAATATTTACAACAAAGTTAGCAAGTAACAGCAACTATTGCATTTTTTATAGGTGAGGATAAATAATTTGCTCACAGCTACACAACCGTATTTACACAAGTATTAATAACTTATGTTCTCATCTAAAACACCTGGAAAAATAAACTAAGGATAGTAATGACAAAAATAAATGGTATTGGGAGAATTACCATGTTTCTTGCTGTATCTCTTTTTGCAAGTATTGCTCTCCTAGTCTCTGATCGTTTCTATAAAGTATGTTGACAATTGCTGTGTATTTCAAGATGCAAGACTGAGGGTCTCTGCAGCTTCTCGCACTTCCAGACACAGGGTCCTGTATCAAGTTTGGACTTATGCTACTTTATTCTGCTTTTGATCACTTTTCAAAAACCTTGAATGAGCTTGAATGAATCTAGGTATCAACTAGCTGCTTAGTACCATAATGGTAGGCATTCACTTTGATTTTTATTGATTTTGTCTGTTAATAGTAATGTTTGAATTTAATTATATCCAGTGCATATTTTCACAAACCTATTAAGTAAATAAAGAAATGTTCAGTTTAGAATTGATATGTCTACAAGCATGAACATAAAATTTGGGTATTATGGAGTCAATAATATGTTCCCCAAACCTAGGACATCTCTGAAAAAGAATATGTTGGGTTTAAGCCACTAGGCAAATTGAAAATACTAATGAAGGCATGGGAACAGCAGGCTATTCAGAAAAATATGATGCATTGAGTTTTAGCTCATTTTTAAAATTTTTAAAATTTCTTAGAAAATTGACTAAGAATTGCAGCTGGAAGTACAGATTTTATAATCTTAAGGAAAACAGTAATTTCCTCATGCTTCCACATAGAAATATTAAAGAATATCTAGCTCTTTTTTTTCTTGCTTGCTTTTGGTCTTGATTCTAATTATGGAAAAGCTTTTTGGGGGGAGGGAAGAACTTAGCCCAAGACATTTTATTCAAATGTATAAGAAAAAGTGCAAAACTTCCCCGTTTGTTGAAAAGTATTGGTGAATGAACTTGTTATTCTGACTTTCCCACCACTTTTAGATTCCTTAGCTCAACTTCTGTCTCTTTTAAAGCACAACAAAAATATTCCAATTGTTAGGAAAATCTACCTCAAATGCTAAGAAAGTATCAATTTTTTAAATCCCAACTATTGGCTTTCTTCACTTTTACTTTTTGACACATGATTGTGAATGTATTAGACAAAGGGACTAAAAATATTGATTTGATTTTTGTATTGGATTGCGTAATTGTGTTCTTTTTCCTTCATCTTATAAAATGTTTGTGCAGTATAAACAGCCAAACTCTGCATTCATCCTCGGTAAAATTCCAATGGTAAATGCTTTAAAAATTATTTCTCAATGCTTTTGGTATATTTCCCAGTTTGATGAAATGTAAACATGAAATTTTTCAGGGTTAGCAGAACTAGGGACCCTGTGTGACCCTCTGCGGAGCTGCTCGATTAGTGAAGAAAATGGACTCAGTGCTGCCTTCACTATAGCCCATGAACTTGGGCACGTGTAAGTTTTCCTTCCATCACCTCAGTGCCATGTTTTCAGAATGCTTGACATTCCCTCTTCAATTGAGTCATTAGCGCCTTTATTTCTTTATAAAATATTAGTGTAAATTTCATCCTTGAAATGCTAACTCTGGCTCTTTTGTGATCTAGGTCAGGTCAGACAGGCTGCACAGACCAACAGACTAAGCAAAGAACTAGAACTTGGGATTTCTTTTATTTCATTTACTGTATTGGATTACAGACAAGCACTTCTGGCCTCTGTCCCTTGTTATCCTATACATGACCAGGTACTGTCCTCTACCATCTTACGGGAGGGCCTATAGGGGCTCCTGGTTCTGGGGAACTCCTCCCCAATACTTGTATTACCAACTATTTCTTGCTGGTAAAGCTCAGAGCCCCAGCAGAAAATGGGACCTGTGGGAATTTCTTAAAAGATATTTTCAGAAGTTTTTTTCCCCCAGATCCCTAGTTTTTTTGTAAAGACTTGGGATTCTTCTATTTGATTCTGCATTATTAAAAATTCTGCTAATGTTGTATGCACTAAGATTTGAGGCTATGATTTTCTGTGGTGCCCTTGGAGTTCCACTGGAAAGTTAGAAACACCTAGAAACACCTAGAAACTCATTACATTTCCCAAATGTGCCCCTCGTACTCCAGGGGTTCATGGTTTTCTGATAATAAAGAATGGAGGCTAGTGTGGCCTTGCTTATTACTAAGATTACTTTTTCCTGATCATACTTGATATCACTAATAGCTTGGATAATTCAAATGAAGGTCATTTTTCACTGAACTGGTGACGCTTAAGTTCCCTTCTCGCGTAGTTGTACATCATGGTGACCAGCAAGGTAGACAGTTTGATCTTTAAGTTGCTTGTTGTAGCGGGGGCAGGATCAGGAGCATACCTGAAGACTGTAGGTATCTGGCAGTGATAGAGAGAAACCATTATGTGCTCGTTTTCCAGACTGCTAGCTAGTGGAAAGCTGTTCTTACAGAGTACCCTCTTAGACTTCTACCTGAGAAACTACTTAGGTGTCTTTAGAATATGGGTAAGTAGTTTAATTAAAATACTGATTTTTAAATGCAAATTTCAGCTGCCTAGCTCCTGAATCAGCTGGCATTAGTGTTCTTTATAATTTCTGTTTTCCTGTTAGCTGCACCAAAGGTATGTCCTTATTAAAGGGCTTGAGGCACAGGATCAGTATCAAAACCCCCCAAAGTCCTATCAGTTTAATAACAATGGGAAACCCTAAAAATGGAAAACTGAGGTGTCAGGGAAGAAGCTCTTGGCTCAGGGGCACTGGCATCCCTCCTCATGGCACTAGATCTGGCCTTAGGGCTCTTGCTCTTGAAGTGGGGGCAGCCATTGTCTTGGGGGAGCCATCAGTGAAGGGCCAAGGACCCTCTTCTGGGGTGTGCCGACATCTGTATGCCCAGGGCTTTGTCTAGCTGGCCAGAGATGGAGGCTAATGGGTTCATAACAGTCAGCCAGCGGTCCCTGGTGGACAGCAGGGTGTGGTCACCTCGGTGCTATACACCTGTGTCTGGCTCAGGTGCTTTTCTTTCTGACAGTTGTAGAGATGAGAGAGCCAGGCTCATGCCTTCTGGTCCAGATGCTCCCATGGCTCCTTGTCTGGTCTAGTCTTACTTGACAGTGACTTTTGGATCCTTTCTGGCCCTTATCTCCCCCCTGCAAGGATCCTAGCCTTCAACCCTAGGGTGCCTCTGAAAGTAGACACTGGGCCCTGGGCCACTACTGCTAACCCTGGAGCCCAGGGCCGGCAATTTCAATTGCTCCCCATCTCCATCTACCAAGGCAGCCACAGGAACCAAGTGTGGAGGTTAGGCAACACCCCCCCCGGCCCTGCTCCTCCAGGACTTGCTCCCGGCCACTGGCTCAGTAAAGCTGAGCTGATCCTATGAGCTAATCTTAGCATTCCTTTTAAACTTAAGTTTATACCTGGATCCTCAAAACTTTTGTTGCTGATCAACTAATTATTTAATATCATTGCATTTGTGAAGATTTGGTTGCCCTTCAGGAATGTGTTCTATGGATTATCACTCAAGGGTTATAAACCAGTACTTAGGCTGCTGCTTCATGTAAGATAGATGCTTTTGAATTCTAAGAAATCAGGAAAGAGGTTCCTTTTGATACCAGTTGAGTCAGTGGCATAGAAGTTAGCATGTATCATCACCTTTACCCAACCTGTGCACACACATCTCCTAAAATATGCACATTGAAACCTGATGTTATTTTTATGGGTTATTGCTATGCAGCTGTTTTTATGATGTGTCCTTATTGCTGCAGATGAGCTAGAATCCAATTATTTTCACTATTTAGACTCAGATATCACATCAACAGGCTTTGCTAGCAATCAAGTTTATCTAAAGAGCAAGTCCCTCCAAACATGAAGTTAACTCTAGTTTTATAATGCTTTGAGGAGAAATTGAGAGTATAAATTCTGATGTATTAGATTTGTCTATATCTTACATTATAAATGTAAGAGATCTGTTACTAATGTTGTACATATATCTCAGTATTCTCAAATGCTTATGTTTGTTTTTAGATTTAATGTTCCACATGATGATAGTTTCAAATGTAAGGAATCTGGAATTAAACATCAGTATCATGTAATGGCTCCAACATTAAATTACCATACAAGTCCTTGGACCTGGTCAAAATGCAGTCAGAAATATATCACTGAATTCCTTGAGTAAGTCTAAATTTATGATGCTGGAATTTTCTTCATTTTATTTTTCCCAATTTTATTAATTTGCCAATTGTGGATATAAGTGTGTGATTTGGGGAGTATAGCTCATAACTTCATATGTGCTTGTGTTATTCTTCTTCTCCATCAGAGTGCAATGTATGTTACTTTATTTATACTTCAACATTTACTACATTATAAAATGTGGTATTTGTATGTTCTTTTAAAGTGCTTCTGTTTGTTTGCTTTTTCATTATCTAAATTTCACATTATAAATTTGATTTGTTTATGACATGATTAACAATCATGTACAAATTTTTCTTTCCTTCTGACTTATTTCATTAAACATAATCCCTTCCAGCTCCACCAATGTTGCAAATGGCATGAGTTTATATTTTTGATGGATGAGTAGTATTCCACTGTGTATATGTAACATATCGTTTTGATCCATTCATGTATTTTTGGACATTTAGGTTGTTTTGATATCTTACTTATTGCAAATAGTGCTGCACTAAACATAGGAGTGCAGGTTTCCTTTTGAATTAATGTTTTTGTGTCCTTTGGGTAGATTCCTAGGACTGGAATTGCTGAGTCCTATGGTAGATCCGTATTTAGTAATTTGAGGAACCTCCATAATGCATTCCCACCAGTTTGCATTCCCACCAGTAGTGTAAGAGGGTTCCTTTTTTCAACATTCTCGCCAACATTTGTTGTTGTCAGCTTTTTTAATGTGGGCCATTCTCTCAGGTATGAGGTAATAGCTCATTTGTGGTTTTGATTTGCATTTACCTATTATAAGTGATATTGAACATTTTTTTATATATCTGTTGGCCATTTGCATTTCCTCTTTGGATAAGTTTCTTTAAGCGCTTCTGCCCATTTTTTGACTGGTAGAATCCCCTCTTTTTCAAAAAAATTATTTATTTATGCATATAAGAGCTGGCGTACAGGCCAGAGATGTGGCGGTGTGTGTGTGTGTATGTGTGAGTGAGAGAGAGAGAGAGTGAGAGAGAGAGAGAGAGAGAGAGAGAATTCACCAGAGACAGACTGGAGAATAGAACAGGCAGATCTACTGAAACACAATGCTGAGGGGAGCAGCGGACGAGACAGGAGAGGTCTGCCTCGCCATGTGGCTTGCTCCCTGGCCTGCTGAGGATGGAACTCTTGCTGCAGAGGCTGTGGACTGCTTCATAGTGCAGTGCTTAACCCCTTGCACACCAGGGAGGCCCCAGAATCCCTTTTTTTTATGAATATTTATATTCATAAATGTGTCACACAATTATGGTCAATAGTGATACTTGCATGGGGACTTGGTTTAAAAGCATGTCACACAGTTGCTGAGCTACACATGATTACATATATCAATAGCTTGGCTCAGTGGCTAGCTGAGGTACTGATGTAAAATACCACTGGGTGTGGTTATTTTGGGGATGGGGTGATGTGATTCTCTCCAAGGGAAATTTCAAAAGTTACCTGTTCATTAGTTTTGGACAGAATTTAATGTGTCTTTAGCCAGTATAGGTTAAAAAAATTATTTTAATTGTAATGGAACAAATTGTTGTTTTTAATTCCATTGGAACTGTTGAACATTTTTACCAAGTTTTCTGTAGACTGGATATTCAACAAACTAGGAGTAACAAATATACATTTCCTCTTGATTTTTACCACTTTTTAAAGTCTTTTAAATACTGCAGATAATATATGCTAGTAGCAGTTTGCAAGATAGATATTACTACTCTCAACTTACAGCTGCAGAGACTTAGATTTAGGGAGATTAAGTAACTTCCTCAGAGCCATGTATTTTGGGAAGTGGTGGAACCGAACTGCAAGTTCCCAGTACTGGCATTCTTGACTGTTTTGCAGTCCTTGAGAAACCTCTTTAAGGTAGAGACAGTACTTCAAAACTTCATTTGTTTTGTTGTTGTTTTCTGAAATGGATTCAAAAATATATTTTTACATTTCAACAATTTGGTCATTATAGCATAGCAAGCTGAAACGAAAGTGTGTAATCAACATGTACACATTTCATAAATTTTATTCTGGTGTTTATTATGTTTATTATTTGTCTTTTTGAAATTGTGATCTTCAAAGCAGCTGTGGAGATCAAATAAGGGCAAGCACGTAAAATATCCTTTAACAACTGTGAGATTTTTGCTGACTTTGATAAGTTGGTTTTAAAATTATGAAAAGATACTGATATTCTCTTTGACAGTGCAGAACTACAGAAAATGTGCTAAGGAATCTTTTTTTTTATTTAAGATTTATTTATTTATGCATACAAGAGCTGGGATACAGGCCAGAGGTGCGGAAGGGTGAGAGGATTCACCAGAGACAGAGTGGGGAACAGAACAGGCAGATTGACCAAAATACACTGCTGAGGGGAGCAGCGGGTGAGTCAGGAGAGGTCTGCTGTGCCATGTGGGTTGCTCCCTGGCTGGCTGGGTATTGAACTAGTGCTGCAGAGGCAGTGGATTGCTTCATAGTGCAGTGCTTAACCCCTTGCACCACCAGGGAAGCCTGTGCTAAGGAATCTTGTACTGAAATCTTGTACTGAAACCCATACGTATTCATGATATTTTATTTTCTGTCATTGGTCAAGTACTGGTCATGGAGAATGCCTCCTTGACAAACCAAATGGAAGAATTTATGATCTTTCTTCACAACTTCCTGGATTAATATATGATGTAAACAAGCAGTGTGAACTGATGTTTGGTCCTGGATCTCAAGTATGTCCCTATTTGGTAAGAAAAATTCTTTTTGTTTGAAAACTACCATAAAGTTGTAGATAGAATGTATTTTAAAATGTCACTGAACAGAGGGTTCAAAACTAAATGTATCTTGAAAGGTTTATGTCTTAGAAAAATTTAGTGTTTATAAGAAAGTTCTTTTTTAAAAAGGGAAAGTAAAATTTATTGAGTGCTTTTTAAATGTTAGGTACTGTGTTTTCTAACTCTTACAAAAATCCTATAAAGTACACTCATTTAGAAAATAAAGTCATGAAAACTGCAAAAATTTTCAAATGTTACTAAAAGTTTAAAGCATTCAACTATTCTTTTTTTTATAATAAATTTTATTTTTATATTCCCCATACAATTGCAACCCCCCCATTCTGACCCCAATCCCTCCCCTCCCGCCACCCACCCCCCAAAAAATGTCTCTGGCTCATAGTTTTTTGTTGATTTTGATTTTCACTTTCTTATAGTTATTCATTTTCCTTGTCCCTTATTTAAGTTTTCTAGATTCCTGCTATGAGTGAGACCATCCGGTATTTTTCTTTTTCTTTTTGGCTTATTTCACTGAGCATGATCCCTTCCAGTGCCATCCATGTTGCTGCAAATTGCATGTGTTTATCTTTTTTGAATGCTGAGTAATATTCCATGGTATATATGTACCACATCTTCTTGATCCAGTCATCTATTTTTGGGCATTTGGGCTGTTTCCAAAGCTTAGCTATTGTAAATAGTGCTGCTATAAACATAGGGGTGCAGGTGTTCTTTGGAATGGATGTTTCTGTGTCCTTTGGGTAAATACCTAGGAGTGGAATTGCTGGATCATATGGAAGCTCTATGTTTAGTAGGTCCAGAAATCTCCACACAGCTCTCCATAGTGGTTGGACCAGTTTGCACTCCCACCAACAGTGCAGAAGAGTTCCTTTTTCTCCACAACCTCGCCAACATTGGTTGTTGCTAGTTTTTTTAATATGTGCCATTCTCACTGGTGTAAGATGGTATCTCATGGTAGTTTTGATTTGCATTTCCCTGATTACAAGTGATGTTGAACATTTTTTCATATGCCTGTTGGCCATTTGCATTTCCTCTTCAGAGAGGTTTCTTTTTAGCTTTTCTGCCCTTTTTTTGACTGGGTGATTTTCTTTGTTGTTGTTGAGTCTCATCAGCTCTTTGCAGATTTTGTGATCAGTCCTTTATCATTAGTGTTGGGTGCAAAAATGTTCTCCCAGTTGGTGGGGTTTCTCTTTGTTTTTGTTATTGTCTCTTTTGCTGTGCAGAAACTCTTTAATTTGATGTAGTCCCAGCTGTTTATCTTTGCCTTCACTATCACTGCTTTGGGTGATGTATCTGTAAAGATGTCTTTGATGTGCAAATCCCGTAGTGTTTCGCCTATATTTCCTTCTATATATTTTATGGTTTCAGGTCTTATGTCTAGTTCTTTAACCATTTTGAGTTGATTTTTGTGTATGGTGTGAGGTAGTGGTCAAGCTTCATTCTTTTGCATGTAGCAACCCAGTTTTCCCAGCTCCATTTATTGAACAAACTTTCTTTGCTCCAATGCATAGTCTTTGCTCCTTTGTCAAAGATTAGTTGACCATAAATCTGTGGGTTTATTTCTGGATTTTGTATTCGATTCCATTGGTCTGTAGGTCTGTTCTTGTTCCAATACCATGCAGTTTTGATGATTATGGCTTTGTAGTATAGTTTGAATTCTGGGAGTGTGATGCCTCCATTCCCTTCTTTCTTTTTTAGGAGAGCTTTGGCAATTTGGGTTTTTTTGTGATTCCATATGAATTTCATCAATAATTGTTCTATTTCTTTGAAGAATGATGTTGAAATTTTGATTGGAATAGCATTGAATCTGTATATTGCTTTTGGTAGGATGGCCATTTTAATAATGTTTATTCTTCCAATCCAGGAGCAGGGGATGTCTTTCCATTTCTTTGTGTCTTCTTCTATTTCTTTTAACAGTGTTTTATAGTTTTCTTTGTATAGGTCCTTTACCTCTTTTGTTAGATTTATTCCCAAATATTTGATTTTTTTTGTTTCAATAATAAAAGGGATGGTTTTTTTGATTACTTCTTCAGATTTATTGTTTGTGTATAGGAAGGCTACTGACTTTTGTGTGTTGATTTTGTATCCTGCCACTTTACTGAACTGATTGATGAGTTGAATTAGTTTTTCTGTGGAGTTTTTGGGGTTCTCTATGTATATTATCATATCATCTGCAAATAGTGATAGTTTGACTTCTTCTTTTCCTATTTGGATTCCTTGGATGTCTTTCTCTTTTCTTATTGCTCTGGCTAGGACTTCCAGTATTATATTGAAAAGCAGTGGTGAGAGTGGGCATCCTTGTCTTGTTCCAGATCTTAATGGAATTGCTTCAGCTTTTCACCATTGAGAATGATACTGGCTGTTGGCTTCTCATAGATGGCCTTTATGCCCAAGAATTTCAAGGGCTTTTATCATGTATGGGTGTTGCACTTTGTCGAAAGCTTTCTCAGCATCTATTGATATTATCATATGGTTTTTATATTTCTTTTTGTTGATGTGTTGGATAACGTTGATTGATTTTCGGATGTTAAACCATCCTTGTGTCCCTGGAATGAATCCTGCTTTGTCGTGGTGAATTATCTTATGGATACATTGTTGGATTCTGATAGCTAAAATTTTGTTGAGGATTTTTGCATCAGTGTTCATTAGGGAGATTGGCCTGTAGTTTTCCTTTTTTGTGTTGTCCTTATTCGGTTTTGGTATTAGTATAATGTTGGCTTCATAGAACGTGTTTGTATTGTCTCTTCCTTCTCAATTTTTTGGAAGAGTTTGTGAAGGATAGGCACCAATTCATCTTTGAATGTTTGGTAGAATTCGTTTGTAAATCCATCAGGTCCTGGGCTTTTGTTTTTGGGGAGGTTTTTCATTACCATTTCAATTTCGCTGCTTGTAATTGGTCTGTTTAGGTGTTCTATTTCTTCTTTATCTAGCTTTGGGTGATTGTAGAGTTGTAGGAATTTGTCCATCTCCTCTAGATTGTTGAACTTGTTTCCATACAACTCTTCATAGTAGTTACTGATTATTCTTTTTATTTCTGCTGTGTCCGTTGTGATTTCTCCTCTTTCATTGATGATCCTGTGTATTTGTGCTTTCTCCCTTTTTCCTTTTTGAGCCTGGCTAGGGGTTTGTCTATTTTATTGATTTTTTTTGAAGAACCAGCTCTTGGTTTCAGTGCTCTTTTGGATTGTTTTTTTAGTTTCAATTTCATTTATTTCTGCTTTGGTTTTTATTATTTCTTTCCTTCTACTGGTTTTGGGGTTTTTTTGTTGTTCTTTTTCTAGATCTTTGAGCTTTGAGATTAGGTTGTTTCTTTGAGTTCTTTCTTGTTTCTTGATGTGAGCTTCTATTGCTATATATTTTCCTCTTATTACTGCTTTTGCTGCATCCCATACATTTAGGATATTGGTGTCCTCCTTGTCATTCAATTCAAAGGATGTTTTTAATTTCCTCTTTGATCTCCTCATTAGTCCAGTGGTCTTCCAGTAGTGTGGTTTTTAGTCTCCATGAGGTAGGAAAGTTCCTTGCCTTCTTTTTATGTTTTATTTCTAGCTTGATGCCTTCATGGTCAGAAAAGATAGTTGGTATGATTTCAATCTTGGTGTATCTGTTGATGTTTGTCTTGTGCCCCAGTATGTGATCGATCCTGGAGAATGATCCGTGTGCGCTTGAGAAAAATGTGTACTCCTTTTTTGGGGGTTTAGTGTTCTATAGATGTCTGTTAAGCCCAAATGCTCTAGATCCTTATTTAGAGCTTTAGTTTCTTTACTTATTTTTTGTCTATCCATTGTTGATAGTGGTGTGTTGAAGTCTCCCACTACATATGTGTTTTCTCTGATGTCTGTTTTCAGAGATGACAACAGTTGTCTGATATATTTTGGTGCTCCTTCGTTTGGTGAGTATATGTTAATTAGTGTTATTTCTTCTTGAAGTATTGTCCCTTTGATCATAATGTAGTGACCGTTGGGATCCCCTTTTATTTTTTTGAGTTTGAAATCTGTTTTATCTGATATAAGTATAGCTGTTCCTGCTTTCTTTTTTGGTCCATTTGCTTGTAGGATTGTTTTCCATCCTTTAACTTTGAGTCTTTTTATCTTTTGTAGCTAAATGTGTTTCCTGGAGACAGCAAAAGGGTGGGTTTTGTTTCTTAATCCAGGCTGCAACTCTGTGTCTTTTTATTGAAGAGTTTAGTCCATTTACATTTAGGGTTAATATTGATATGTTAGCATCTGTATTTGCCATTGTGTTTGTCTTTCCTTTGATTTTATTTATTCTTTTAATATCTTTTTTTTCCTTGCCTTCTTCGTTGTTATTCGTCCCTCTGAGGTTCTGGCTTTAGGATTCCTTGTAGTATTTTTTGGAGTGGGGGTTTATTGGTAATGAATCCATAGTTTCTGTTTGTCTGGAAGGTCCTTATTCTTTCTTCATAGAGGAAGGAAAGCTTTGCGGGATAGAGTATTCTTGGTTGACATCTGTTTTCTTGGAGTCTGTTGACTATGTCCCTCCTCTCTCTCCTTGCCCGTAGTGTTTCTTCAGAGAAGTCTGTTGTCAGCCTGATTGGTTTTCCTTTGAATGTTATTTGTTTCTTCCCTCTTTTCAGCTTCATTATTTTTCCTTGTCCTGGATTCTTGGGAGCTTCACTATTATGTGTCTTGCTGTATTTTTCCTTTCGTCATGGAAGTTTGGTGTTCTTCTTGCTTCTTGTATATCAATTTTCAGCTCCTTCTTCACATTGGGAAGTTCTCTTCATATTCTCCTGGAATATTTTCTCTGTTCCTACATCTCTCTCCTCTCCTTCTGGTATTCCTATAACTCTTATATTTCCTTTCCTCATGGTGTCCGATAGTTCCCGAAGTCTTTCTTCGTTCTTTTTCCTTCGTACTTCTCTTTCCTTTTCTGTTTTGGTTCTTTTATTTCTGTGTCTTCAAGAGAACTTATTCGTTCTTCCATTTCATCTATTCTGCTTTCATTGCTTTTCCCAGAATTCTTTAGTTCTTCCATTAATTCTTTGATCTCCTGCATTTCTTTTACTTCCCTCTTTAGGGACTCAATTTCATTTTTCTGATCATTGATTATTTTTCCCTTATCATTGTTTTCCTTTATGAGTTCTGTCATTTTTTAATCATGGCAATTTTAAATTCTCTTTCTGGAAGGCTCAGAAGTTCTTCCAAGTTACTGTCGTTACAATCTGGGGGCTGGTTTTCTTTTTGTGGTGTGCTTCTTCCCTGAGGAGTTGCTATGTTGCGTGTGGTTCTTCTACTCCCTACTGTCTGTTTTCTAATTTGCCATATGCGTTGGTACACTGTGTTGCTGGGACTAGCCGGCATCTTGGGTGAGCTTCTCTGCTCCCCTCTGGCTCCTCCGGGCGCCATCTGTCAGTTTCAAGCAGTCTTTACTGAAGAAAGGTCCCTGTTCTAAAATGCCGATGTGGGGACACACTCCCCTGTGCTCCTGGTCTGCCCCGGCAGTGGGTTCCCTCTCCCCCTCTGGGCTTGGACTGCAGGCCAGAGGTGTTCTGGTGTGGGCGAACTTCCCCTGCTCACCTCTGGCTCCTGAGGGAGCCTTCTGCAGGCAGTCTTTACTGAAGAAATGTCCCTGTTCTAAAATGGCGATGCGGGACACACTCCCTGCGTGTCCAGTCTCAGGCACACTCTTCTGCGTGCCTGGTCTGCCCCGGCTTTGGGTACTCACTCCCCTGTGGGCTCAGACTACTGGTTGGCAGGGGCCCGGCGTGGGCTAACTTCCCAGCTGGCCACTGGCTCCTCCAGGAACCTCTGCTGGTTTCAAGTCGCTAGGTGGCGCCTGAGATCTCTCCTAGAGCCCTTGGGGAGCTGTTTTTTTTTTTTTTCACCCCGTGCGACAGGAAACAGAGCGGGAATGGTAGGGTAAACCTCAACGGCTTTGGGGTGCTGTGTCTGCCTTGTGCCCCACCATCGTGGAGAACCCACGCCCCGAATTTTGTGCTCCAGATCTCAGTTCCAAAGCCCTCAGGTCCAGGACGTGGGCTGTAGCCCAGTTCAGTGTCCACAGAATGGCGTCTTTTGCACCCCACTCCCGTGCCTGGGTGCCTGGTTCCTGGATACTCAGGGAGGGACTTTCACCTCAGTGAGGGTCTTCGCGTGCGTCTCCCTGCAAGCCTAGGTCGCAGGCACGGGTACCCGGGCAGCCGCGGGGACCTGGGCAGCCGCGATCCCAATCCACGTTTGCTTTTCAACCGCGCTGCTTTTCCGCGCTATCCCGATCCGCGTTTGCTTTTCCAGTGCACAGCTTTTCCGCGCAAGCTTACCGGGCGACCCGGGGCTGTGTGCTGGTCCTGGCCTCCTCCTGGGGGGCGGGGTCTCTGTTTAATGGCGCCCGGAGCTCACCTCCACGGCGAATCCTGCAGGGTTCTCCGCAGCTCTCGTTCACGGGGTGTGGTGGCTACAATAGTTCCTTTCCACTCACAGTCCCGCTTGCTGCGTAGTTCGTTCTTGTTGGTCGTTTTAGTTTGTTTTTTTCCTCCTCTCTGCCGGTCGGAGAACGCCGACTCTATGGGTGGGGGAGGGGAGCGGGGTTCTGCACTTTCCTCCCTTCTGGTCCTCTTTTATGGCAACTTTCTTCTTCGGGTAATTTGCTGGAGTCACCCGTTTATCTTCCGTGTCCCAGTTCTCACTGGGACCTGCCACTTTTCCTCCCTATTAACTTTTTTTAATGGGAGATCTTACTCGCAGCGTCTCCTCTCCACCATGTTGCTCCGCCCTCCCATTCAACTATTCTTTTCAAATAATATTAATATGGGCACAGGGAAGAAAATATAAATGCTTTGATGTACTCCTGTGAATGGCCCTAAGAATCAAATGTGTACTATGTATTTTTTTAAGATTTATTTATTTATGCATTCAAGAACTGGGGTATAGGCCAGAGGTGTGGGGGATGAGAGGATTCACCAGAGACAGAGTGGGGAACAGAACAGGCAGACTGACTAAAATACACTGTTGAGGGGAACAAAGGGCAATACAGGAGAGGTCTGATGCACCATGTGGGTCACCTCCCTGGCTGGGATTGAACTTGTGCTGCAGTGGCTGCAGATAGCTTCACGCATGCTGTATTTTAATGTATATAGATTTGAATCCAAAGATATAAAATTCGGGGCCAATTGTTTAGACTTATTAAGGTTGTTTTACTCTATGACTTATTTTCAGAAATTTTCACAAGTTAGAAACTTTAAATTTTTATCGAAATAGCTGATTTAACTTGTTTGCTAAATCTGTAACCATGATTTTGTTTTATTTGGGCATAGATTTAAGGTTGAGTTTGAATAAATGTCATCATTTTGGTGGATCCCTGTCCTGCTTTCCCAAACAGAGTAGTTACTCTCTTTTCTCCATTCCTGGACAAAAATTTGCCATTTGCTTACTACAGCTCCAGACTGTAAATATCCTTAGGAATACAGCTTCATTCATTCTTTTAATTAAAGGTATATTCCCAGTGTTAAGGATTTACCATATAATCAGTGCCACAAAATAAAAACTACTGAATGTTGAATGAATGAATGTTACTAAACAGTAAGCAAAGTGATGTAAAAACCACAGTGACTATCACTGTTAAAATCTTAAATTTATAGGGCCTCCCTGGTGACACAGGGGTTAAGTTTCAATGCTGTCAGTCTATTGCCATCCACTTCAGTCAGGGTTCAATTTCCCAGTAAGGGAGCTGACCCACATGGCACTGCAGACCTCTCCTGTCTCATCCGCTGCTCCCCTCAGCAGTATATTTCAGTAGTATGCCTGTTCTGCTCTCCACTCTGTCTCCGGTGAATCCTCTTACCCCACACCTCTAGCTGATACCCCAGTTCTTGTATTCATACATAAATAAAAACAAATCTTTAAAAATATTAAATTTATTATCCCACATTTTAATAAGCCTTTAGACATTTAGTATAGTGGAAGATTTGCTTTAACTGTTTGTTATATAAGATGCATTTCTTTCCTATCTGATTTAGATTCTAAATAAACTCTCAATTTAAATTCAGAGAAAGGAAAGCATTACTGACTTACAGTTCCTGTGTGACTCAGTGGATTTTCAGTTCAGAAACCTTTGTTCAGAAGTTGAAAGTCTGCATTATATCCACAAAAGAGGAAGCCAGTGTACATTATGCAGTTTTTTATGCACATTATTCATACTGCTGGATCAAAAGGGGCTTTTGGAAACTTTGCAAGTAACATTAAACAACAAAAAGCCCTTTAGAAAACTGTCTTGAAAAGAATAAAAAAGGTCTCACATAATTTTGAATATTTCCACTCTTGATTTCTCTCTCATTGCTTAATGTAGCATAGATATCCCAAAGTTTTTCAGAATGAAAGCTTGCTGTTTTATGTGTTTAGAAGAAAATTGATAACTCAAACTTTGTAAAGATTTGTACTTATTATTTCCAGCTTTGTTCGGGAAACCATATATCGGCTCAACTTAGGAGCCTGTCATTATATAGAGTTGGTCTGGTGCTTGTAACATGGTTTTCACTCCTGCCCAACACCTTTTGTCACTCCGCAGAAGCAGTGCAGGCGTCTCTGGTGCACGAGCGCGGAGGGCGTCCACAAGGGCTGTCGCACTCAGCACATGCCTCTGGCAGATGGAACCAGCTGTGGTCCTGGGATGGTAGGTTTCCTCCAAGGGTGAGTCTGGTATCGAGACAATCCGAGGATGGAATGGCTCCACGTTTCATCACTCTTCAAAACTCACTGTCAGCTGGTGTCCTGCCAGTTGAATTAATGTGATCGCCCTGTTTGTTTGAATGGTACATTGTCAAGTGAAATACATTTTTAACTTTACCCCCCTTTTCAAGATCAAGCAGATGAAGATTACAGTTCTCTCTAGTTATTAGACAACTAACTATATGGATGTATAGTAACCTAAGTACATAATAAATAGTCTCGTCATTAAAAATGAGTATAGACCTAGAATTTCTAATATTTCAGTAAAAAACCCAAATTCAAGAATATTACCATTGCCTGCATTTCCTCTCCTAAAATTTAGGCAATCATAATTGAAAGTTTATCGCTACAATAAACTGCCTGCTGTACTATATCTTTATAATTCTAACACCAGTCATGGATTCTCCTAAATTTGCCAGTATGATAGTGAGAGGTGGAGTTCACTATGATAATGAAACATGCAGTAAGGCTGAAGTCAGATGTACTTGGTGCCCCAGGGTAAAGTCATCTTCTTTTGTCCTTGGTGGCTAGTACTATCAGCACTTCCTAACTTGCATCTCTTAGATGCCTCTGAACTACAGCATTGTCAAGGAAGCCTGCCTATTTTGTTAACTTCACATTAGCTAACATCAGTTCACTGACCGAATTTGTATCTTTCCACCTGTTGCTCCATTGAAATATTTGTACCCGCTACTGGTTTTCTCTTGAATCACTTTTCTATAAAAATCACATCTGAATTGATTTATTTGGATATCTGCAATTTTTGCAGTAACTGAAATACTCATCAAAATGGTCTAGAACTCATGATACTTTTTTTTAATTTTAGCATCAAAATTCTAGTGGCCTTCAGTTTATAGATTTAAGATCAAACTGAATTTTAAAATTTATTCTTTAATTTTTAAAAGTTTCTCTTTATGAAAATAACAATTAATAAAAGAATAGATTTTTTCTCACTTCTTATTACCAATAGTGACTGATTTTTTTTTTTTTTTTTTTTTTTTTTGTGGTGGTAGGGGAGTTTTGTGGTGGTAGGCATTTGTGAGAGTTATGTGAGAATGAGCAGAAAAAAATCTTTTAGAGTTTGAGTCCTGGGCTGCTGATATTAGGTAGTCTTGCTCCAAAATAGTCACCTGATTGAATTCTCAGGTTAGGCCTTAACCCTTGCCTTAGAAAATTTTCAAATAATTATATGCCATGGATGCGATGATTGCATGTAGCTAAAATAATGATTGCTGTATTTACAGTTATCAAGAGACATACTATTAATAACTAATTCATTGAACATAACTGATTCAGTTTGAGCATAAACATGAGGTTTTCAATGGGATATTATTCAGCCTTAAAAGAAAGGAAATTTTGACACATGTTACAACATGTGTGGACCCTGAAGGAGTTTATGTTAAGTGAAATTAGTCTCAAAAATGTGAAGATTGTATGACTTCAATTATGATACATCTAGAGTACATGAATTCATAGAAAGAAAAAGTAGAATGGTGTTTTGAGAAGAAGGGAGAGTAGGAGCTGTTTAATGGGTATAGAGTCTCAGTTTGGGAAAATTAAGCAAGTTCTGTGAAAAGATGGTGTAATGATTGCACAATAATGTGATTGCACTTAATGTCACCAAGCAATAACCTTAAAAATAGGTGATAATAAATTTTATATAATGTATATTTTACCACAGTTCAAAATCAACTGTAAGATCATTTTTAATTGTTAAGGTTTATAAACAAAAATTTCCTTGGTCAGAATCCTATAAGCTTCTGAATGGTTTATTCTTCATTTTTGTGCTCATTTCTGAGACAGATTCTGGATAGGTCGACAGGGAGCTATATTTGGTCTAAAAGACCCTAGAAATGAGCATTTTGGGGGTACCTGTTTTCGGATGTCCCCTCCCTGCAGGAGAGAGCTGTCTGTTTTCTTACTGCTAAATAAACTCTAAAACTCACTCCTCGCAGCCCATGTCCTCAATTTTTGTGGAATGGGGACAAGTACTCGCCACCATGTGCCATCTCCTCACAGACTGACAGCGAGTAGTTCATAGACCAGCATCAGTGCATGAACCACGTTTCTCTTGGCTTTAATGTAGAGGAGACAGGAGTGGTGATGAGGCAGGATTGATGAGAGAATCCTTGGGGTGATATTTTGAGTAGTGAGCATATCAAGTACATGGGTGGGGGGGGGTTGCAGTTGCAAGGGCCATGGATTTTTTCAGTTACTGATAACTGAGAAGGAGGAGTACTAGGCACAAATGCTCTTGGGCAGATAGAAGGGGTATTGGGAAGTTGTGGGCAGATTTTCCTTTAAGTTCCCATTTTCTTGATGAAAGTAAGGAACAAAGTGTCTGTGGCACTTTGGATGAGATGGAGTAGAAAGTTAACAAAGTGAGTGGGAGAGTGACATTTCACATAAATGGGAACATGGCTATATGCTCTATTAATATAATATATAACATATTTGTAATTAATATAATATATAATATAATGCTCTATTAATGGAGTTTTTATTTGCTTGTTTTAAAAAATAATTTTCATTTTACTATCTTAGTTTTCCCCATAGGTTTTCCCTCTACCACTAAGACTAGATCTTAACAGCAAATCTAACTTTTTATTTTTATTTTTTATTATTTTATTTTATATAATTCTTACATCATTTTTCATTTTTGCACAATGTATGGGAAATATAACCAAAATGAAAATGCATACATTGTGCAAAAATTCCCACCCCACTTATTTTGATCCTAACCGCCCCACCTCTCCAGTAGTATGTCTCTGGTCTATAGTTGCTTGGTGATTTTAATTTTCTCTTTATTATAATTAGTCTTTTTCCTGGTCCCTTATTTAGGTTTTCTAAATTCCTACTATGAGTGAGACCATCTGGTATTTTTCTTTTTCTCTCTGGCTTATTTCAGTGAGCGTGATCCCTTCCAGCTCCATCCATGTTGCTGTAAATTGCATGAGTTTATCTTTTTTGATTGCTGAATAATATTCCATTGTGTATATGTACCACATCTTCTTGATCCAGTAGTCTATTTTTGTGCATTTGGGTTGTTTCCATAGTTTAGCTATTGTAAATAGTGCTGCTTTAAACATAGGGATGCAGGTGCCCTTTTGAATTAATGTTTCTGTGTCCTTTGGGTAAATACCTAGGAGTGGAATTGCTGGATCATATGGAAGCTCTATCTTTAGTAGGTTGAGAAATCTCCACACAGCTTTCCATAGTGGTTGGACCATTTTGCACTCCCACCAGCAGTGCAGGAGAGTTCCTTTTTCTCCACATCCTTGCCAACATTTGTTGTTGGTAGTTCTTTTAATATGTTCCATTCTCACTGGTGTGAGATGGTATCTCATTGTAGTTTTGATTTGCATTTCCCTGATTACAAGTGATGTTGAACATTTTTTCATATGCCTATTAACCATTTGCATTTCCTCTTTAGAGAAGTTTCTTTTTAGCTCTTCTGCCCATTTTTGATTGGATTATTTACTTTGAATGAAAGAGCTTCTGTACAGCAAAAGAGACAATAATCAAAACAAAGAGAAACCCCACTGACTGGGAGAACATTTTTGTACACAACACTAATGATAAAGGACTGATCACAAAAAGCTATAAAGAGCTGATGAGACTCAGCAAATCTAACTTTTTAAATGTCATAGATCTTGTATTTACTCAGTAGATACTCAGAAAATGTTCATAAAGTGGCATCAGATGTGATCATATTCTGGAATTAATAGCATTTTGCTTTAAATTCTGCATATCTTGTTCTAATGATCATTATGTTGCTATTATTCTTACTGTGATGTTTCATTTCCATGCACAAGAGTCATTTCTCCTGTGCTGGTTTTTGCAGCATTGCCACCACGGTCTGTGTGTCAACAAGGAGATGGAAACACGCCCTGTGGATGGAGAATGGGGGCCATGGGGACCTTACAGCTCTTGTTCCAGAACGTGTGGAGGTGGAATCAAAAGTACAACCAGGCTCTGTAATCGTCCCAAGTATGTCTTTTTTTTTTTTAATATAACTGTAAGTTAAGATTATAGCAAGTCACCAGAAAGTAAACATTAGTTTTATTCTTGTCTCTAAGTTTTCCCATCTTGTGTTAAAATGCTTGTCTCCTAGGCATATGTGAATTTCTCCAGCTGGGTCACCGTGCCTGCAATTTTGTTTCTTTGTCTCCTCCTTTTAACTTGGTGGCTAGTGAAGGAGAGGGGGGATGCTGAAATGCAAAGACCCTCGATGACAGTCTTATTGTGCAGGGTGGACATTCCATGTGTAAAAATGTCTGCTGTGTCTCCTTCCCTTGCTCCCCAGAGCCCATACTCTCCACTGTTCACAGATTCCACACTCCAGGGTCCAGTCTCTTTGCCACCTTCACTGTGGTACATGCAGGTCTCTCCCTCTGACTCCTAGGAGCAAAAGGGTAGGGGCTTCCCCCATCTGCACCACTGCAGCCACATTCTTTGTGACTAATCATACAGTTCTAGCACCCATGTGGGTATAGATTTTTATTCCTTCCCCACTAAAAAAATTCCCCTGCAATGGCTGTGATCCACACCATTCATGCTTGTCCCATTTTTTTCCCCCAGTTGTCTGGCTTGGCCAGTGCCCTGGCTATGGCCTTCTTACTTTCTTCCTGTTTTTTCCCATAGCAAGCCACCAACCTTAGATTAAAATATCCATGGGTCTGTCCCTCATCACCAGTCATGACCTGCTGAAATTTGCTGTAAGCAAAATTTAATGTGTTCCTGTTGTAATTAGTGGAGATGTTCATCAGAACCTCACAATTCCACCATGCTATAGGTGGAGCCTGGAAGTCTTCGTCTTTAAAAAATGCTGACACAAATAGTTTTTCCGAAAATAATGAGATGGATGACAGTGAAACTCTATATATTTTGATAATCCCTGATATAAAGAGATGGATGATACAATTAGTAATGAAACTCTTTAAACTGCCAGGAAGGATATATATCACAAAGGTGCACAAAGATTTTTTTTTTTTTTATGTAACATGGTGTTATCTCCCTCTGTTTTCTGCTTTGGCTCAAGTAGTATTTCTTTTTGTTCTCTAGAAAATGAAGAAACCATTTTTTGAAGTTTTAAAACAAATCCCCATCATCACTTAATTCTTTGCTAGTCTAATCATGACTAAAATATTATTTCACTCTGTAGGCCGCCTTGTCCACCCTAAGATGGATACTTTCGCATTTGTTAGTCTTAGATTAGTTAAAATATCCTGTTACATTTGTTAAAAACAAAACAAACAAAAAGAAAACATTAGTGGGACATCAGTAGTTACCAGATCCTGGAAGAGAATGGAGTAGATTTGGAAGTAAATGGCAGAAAAATATTGTACTGATGTGCTTCAAAATGTAATGAATTTGACTAGGCCAAGAAACGGAGGAAAGTTCTGTGTGGGCCGCAGGATGAAATTTCGGTCATGTAACACTGATTCATGTCCAAAAGGCAAGCAAGACTTTCGTGAGAAGCAGTGCTCTGACTTTGATGGCGAACATTTCAACATCAGTGGCCTTTCCCCTAATGTGAGGTGGCTCCCCAAGTACAGTGGCAGTAAGTGCTCCAAATATTACATTTATTGTAAGACTTTTTTGAGACCTAGGAAAGCACAGCCATTCATTGTACAAACAATGTTTGACGTGTTGTTACAGTTGCCATAAAAGATCGCTGTAAACTCTACTGTCGGGTTGCTGGAACCACTAACTTCTACCAGTTGAAGGATAGGGTTGCCGATGGTACTCCTTGTGGGACTGAAACCAATGACATCTGTGTTCAAGGCCTGTGTCGGGTAACTAAATGTATTATACTTAAAGTGACTTTGAGAATGATATTTTGTCTCTTTATTCAAATATTCCTTCTATTACTTCAGAATGTATTCTTTTAAAAAAAATTTGTGTGGGGTGGGAGAGAAGAATTGGGGTGTAGGCCAGATGTTTGGGGGTGAGAGGACTCCCCAGAAACAGAGTGGAGAGCGGAACAGGTGAATGGACTGAAATACACTGCTGAGGGGAGCAGCAGGCTAGACAGGAGAGGTCTGTTAAACCCTTTGTGGGTCAGCTCCCTGGCCGGGGATCGAACTCAGGCCATAGTGATAGTGCTGAGACTCATCCCCTAAGCCACCAGGGAGACCCAAGAATGTGTTCTTGTGAATCCCAGTGCAGCAGCCTTTGGTGTTGTGCTCATACTGTCTACAGGGTGGCCTTAGGAGACTTGTAACTAGGCAGTTCTCTGTCATTAAGAGTGATTCAGGGGCCTCCCCGGTGGCATAGCGGTTGAACGCTGGGCTGCGAAGCTGCCCGCAGCTCCTACAGCACCGGTTCGATCCCCAGCTGCCGGCCGAGGGTCCCACATGGCTCGCAGACCTCTCCTGCCCGCCTGCTGCTCCCCTCAGCAGTGTACTTCGTCAGTCTGCCTGTTGTACTCTCCGCTCTGGCTCTGGTGAATTCTCTTACCCTCCCGCGCTTCTGACTGTACCCAGTGCTTGTATAAATAAATAAATAAATCTTTAAAAAAGAAAAAAAAAGAGTGGCTCAGGAAGCATTAAGGTAAGTTTGCTGATTTTGTTTTGCCTTTGGTACTCAAAATCAAGCTGAGTGAGGAGGTCAACTCCCTAAGAAAGAGAAATAATAGGACAGAAGGGCTAGAAAGTCTTTTTAGTATTTTGAATGTGAACTTTTTTCCCTCTGTGTTAAAAGTGGTGTTCCCCACCATTATTCCCCCTTCCTGCCTTGTCTTTTACTTCCTGTGCACATTCAAGTAACATTTACTGAGTACCTGTTGGATGTCAGATACCTTTCTAGTCACCTGGTTGAAAGAATGCAACAGAGCCCCTGCCTCACAGGCAGTCGCAGATTTGTTAGGGTAGATGTGTTAGCAGTCAGATTGCAGAGCTCTGAGGTCATGCAGAAAGTGGCACGAGACACGATTTTATGTGGCCATGGCAAAGCATTCCGAGAATGCCCATGGATGGTATGAAGCTTGAAGTAGTTGAGGATGAGTAGGTTTTAGAAAGGTGAGGAAGGAAGGAAGGGGCCAAGGATGGAGCTGATTGTTCTTATATTTACTTTTTTCTGAAATCCTCGGAGCTCCCTGGAAGGATTTGGAGTTGAGCAATATTTGTGATTCTGAAGATCCTAACAATGTGCTGGATTAGAAGATTGGCTATAGATGGGCCATTTAGTAGTATGCTTTGTGAAAATAGATGAGACTCTGAATTAAAGCACTTTCTTTTGCAGATGGCAGTCTTAAAAATGCTTGGTGAGTATGAGAGTAGGATAGTGAATGCTATATGAAGAATACAAATTGAGCTTTATGAATTCACTCTTTTGGTTAAGGTGAAACTTAAAAGGACCCTACAGTTCTTTCTATAATCCTCTATTACCAGTTACTTAGGTGATTAAAGGGCCTTACACCCAAAGCATTACTGAGAATTAAAAAAAAAAAAAAGCATACACATTGGAAATCATGTAAGTACTCAGAAAAAGGGTACTTGGTGACCTGAAAAACCTATATTTTACCTAAATTAACAGCCAAATGACATACACAATGAAAAAATATGAAGATTATCAGGATTTATAGATGTATGCTATATGGAGAAAATAACTGGATAAAATTTTTATTTTGAAAATAATTGCGTTATGTAGAATAAATTTTTTTTTTTTTAAATATTAAATTTTATTTTTATATTCCCCCATACAATTGCAAACGCCCATTCTGACACCAATCCTTCCCCTCCCGCCCCCCACCCCCCAAAAAGTGTCTCTGGTTCATAGTTTTTTGTTGATTTTGATTTTCACTTTCTTATATTCATTTTCCTGGTCCCTTATTTAAGTTTTCTAGATTCCTGCTATGAGTGAGACCATCCGGTATTTTCTTTTTTCTTTTTGGCTTATTTCGCTGAGCATGATCCCTTCCAGTGCCATCCATGTTGCTGCAAATTGCATGTGTTTATCTTTTTTGAATGCTGAGTAATATTCCATGGTATATATGTACCACATCTTCTTGATCCAGTCATCTATTTTTGGGCATTTGGGCTGTTTCCAAAGCTTAGCTATTGTAAACAGTGCTGCTATAAACATAGGAGTGCAGGTGCTCTTTGGAATTGATGTTTCTGTGTCCTTTGGGTAAATACCTAGGAGTGGAATTGCTGGATCATATGGAAGCTCTATGTTTAGTAGGTCCAGAAATCTCCACACAGCTCTCCATAGTGGTTGGACCAGTTTGCACTCCCACCAACAGTGCAGAAGAGTTCCTTTTTCTCCACATCCTCGCCAACATTTGTTGTTGCTAGTTTTTTTAATATGTGCCATTCTCACTGGTGTGAGATGGTATCTCATGGTAGTTTTGATTTGCATTTCCTGATTACAAGTGATGTTGAACATTTTTTCATATGTCTGTTGGCCATTTGCATTTCCTCTTCAGAGAAGTTTCTTTTTAGCTCTTCTGCCCATTTTTTGACTGGATTATTTTCTTTGTTGTTGCTGAGTCTTATCAGCTCTTTGCAGATTTTTGTGATCAGTCCTTTATCATTAGTGTTGGGTGCAAAAATGTTCTCCCAGTTGGTGGGGTTTCTCTTTGTTTTTGTTATTGTCTCTTTTGCTGTGCAGAAGCTCTTTAATTTGATGTAGTCCCAGCTGTTTATCTTTCTCTTCACTATCACTGCTTTGGGTGATGTGTCTGTAAAGATGTCTTTGATGTGCAAATCCGTAGTTGTTTCGCCTATATTTCCTTCTATGTATTTTATGGTTTCAGGTCTTATTCTAGTTCTTTAATCCCTTTGAGTTGATTTTGTGTATGGTGTGAGGTAGTGGTCAAGCTTCATTCTTTTGCATGTAGCGACCCAGTTTTCCCAGCACCATTTATTGAACAAACTTTCTTTGCTCCAATGCATAGTCTTTGCTCCTTTGTCAAAGATTAGTTGACCATAAATCTGTGGGTTTATTTCTGGATTTTCTATTCGATTCCATTGGTCTGTATGTCTGTTCTTGTTCCAATACCATGCAGTTTGATGATTATGGCTTTGTAGTATAGTTTGAAGTCTGGGAGTCTGATGCCCCATTTCCTTCTTTTTTTTTCAGTAGAGCTTTGGCTATTCGGGGTTTTTGGTGATTCCATATGAATTTCATCAATAATTGTTCTATTTCTTTGAAGAATGCCATTGAGATTTTGATTGGAATAGCATTGAATCTGTATATTGCTTTTGGTAGGATGGCCATTTTAATAATGTTTATTCTTCCAATCCATGAGCAGGGGATGTCTTTCCATTTCTTTGTGTCTTCTTCTATTTCTTTTAACAGTGTTTTATAGTTTTCTTTGTATAGGTCCTTTACCTCTTTTGTTAGATTTATTCCCAAATATTTGATTTTTTTTTGTTTCGATAATAAAAGGGGTGGTTTTTTTGATTTCTTCTTCTTCAGATTTATTGTTTGTGTATAGGAAGGCTACTGACTTTTGCGTGTTGATTTTGTATCCTGCCACTTTACTGAATTGATTGATGAGTTGAATTAGTTTTTCTGTGGAGATTTGGGGGTCTCTATGTATATTATCATATCATCTGCAAATAGTGATAGTTGACTTCTTCTTTTCCTATTTGGATTCCTTGGATGTCTTTCTCTTGTCTTATTGCTCTGGCTAGGACTTCCAGTATTATATTGAAGAGCAGTGGTGAGAGTGGACATCCTTGTCTTGTTCCAGATCTTAATGGAATTGCTTTCAGCTTTTCACCATTGAGAATGATACTGGCTGTTGGCTTGTCATAGATGGCCTTTATGATGTTGAGGTATGTTCCTTGTATCCCAAGAATTTCAAGGGCTTTTATCATGAATGGGTGTTTGCACTTTGTCGAAAGCTTTCTCAGCATCTATTGATATTATCATATGGTTTTTATATTTCTTTCTGTTGATGTGTTGGATAACGTTGATTGATTTTCGGATGTTAAACCATCCTTGTGCCCCTGGAATGAATCCAACTTGGTCGTGGTGAATTATCTTATGGATACATTGTTGGATTCTGATAGCTAAAATTTTATGAGGATTTTTGCATCAGTGTTCATTAGGGAGATTGGCCTATAGTTTTCCTTTTTTGTGTTGTCCTTATTCGGTTTTGGTATTAGTGTAATGTTGGCTTCATAGAACGTGTTTGGTATTGTCCCTTCCTTCTCAATTTTTTGGAAGAGTTTGTGAAGGATAGGCAATAATTCGTCTCTGAATGTTTGGTAGAATTCATTTGTAAATCCATCAGGTCCTGGGCTTTTGTTTTTGGGGAGGTTTTTCAATTACCATTTCAATTTCGCTGCTTGTAATTGGTCTGTTTAGGTGTTCTATTTCTTCTTTATCTAGCTTTGGGTGATTGTAGAGTTGTAGGAATTTGTCCATCTCCTCTAGATTGTTGAACTTGTTTCCATATAACTGTTCATAGTAGTTACTGATTATTCTTTTGATTTCTGCTGTGTCCGTTGTGATTTCTCCTCTTTCATTTATGATTCTGTGTATTTGTGCTTTCTCCCTTTTTCCTTTGTGAGCCTGGCTAGGGTTTGTCTATTTTATTTATTTTTTCAAAGAACCAGCTCTTGGTTTCATTGATCTTTTGGATTGTTTTTTGAGTTTCAATTTCATTTATTCTGCTTTGGTTTTTATTATTTCTTTTCTCTAAGGTTCTGGGGTTTTTTGTTGTTCTTTTTCTAGATCTTTGAGCTTCGAGATTAGGTTGTTTCTTTGAGTTCTTTCTTGTTTTTTGATGTGAGCTTCTATTGCTCTATATTTTCCTCTTATTGCTGCTTTTGCTGCATCCCATACATTTAGGATATTGGTGTCCTCCTTGTAATTCAATTCAAAGAATTTTTTAATTTCTTCTTTGATCTCCTCGTTAGTCCAGTGGTCTTCCAGTAGTGTGGCTTTTAATCTCCATGAGGTAGGATAGTTCCTTGCCTTCTTTTTATGATTTATTTCTAGTTTGATGCCTTCGTGGTCAGAAAAGATGGTTGGTATGATTTCAATCTTGGTGTATCTGTTGATGTTTGTCTTGTGCCCCAGTATGTGATCGATCCTGGAGAATGATCCGTGTGCGCTTGAGAAAAATGTGTACTCCGTTTTTTTTGGGTTTAGTGTTCTATAGATGTCTGTTAAGCCCAAATGCTCTAGGTCCTTATTTAGAGCTTTAGTTTCTTTACTTATTTTTTGTCTTGTTGATCTATCCATTGTTGATAGTGGTGTGTTGAAGTCTCCCACTACGTATGTGTTTTCTCTGATGTCTGTTTTCAGAGAGGACAACAGTTGTCTGATATATTTTGGTGCTCTTTCGTTTGGTGAGTATATGTTAATGAGTGTTATTTCTTCTTGAAGTATTGTCCCCTTAATCATAATGTAGTGACCATTGGGGTCTCTTTTTATTTTTTTGAGTTTGAAGTCTGTTTTATCTGATATAAGTATAGCTGTTCCTGCTTTCTTTTTTGGCCCATTTGCTTGTAGGATTGTTTTCCATCCTTTGACTTTGAGCCTATTTTTCTTTTGTAGCTAAATGTGTTTCCTGGAGACAGCAAAAGGTTGGGTTTTGTTTCTTAATCCAGGCTGCAACTCTGTGTCTTTTTATTGAAGAGTTTAGTCCATTTACATTTAGAGTTAATATTGATATGTTAGCATCTGTATTTGCCATTATGTTTGTCTTTCCTTTGATTTTATTTATTCTTTTAATAACTTTTTTTTTTTTGGTCTTCTTTCGTTGTTATTCGTCCCTCTGAGGTTCTGGCTTTAGGATTCCTTGTAGTATTTTTTGGAGTGGGGGTTTAGTCGCAATGAAATTCCGGAGTTTCTCTTTGTCTGGGAAGGTCCATATTCTTTCTTCATGGAGGAAAGAGAGCTTTGCGGGATAGAGTATTCTTGGTTGGCATCTGTTTTCTTGGAGTCTGTTGACTATGTCCCTCCACTCTTCCTTGCCCGTAGTGTTTCTTCAGAGAAGTCTGATGTCAGCCTGATTGGTTTTCCTTTGAATGTTATCTGTTTCTTCCCTCTTGTCAGCTTCATTATTTTTTCCTTGTCCTGGATTCTTGGGAGCTTTACTATTATGTGTCTTGCTGTGTTTTTCCTTTCGTCGTGGAAGTTTGGTGTTCTTCTTGCTTCTTGTATATCAATTTTCAGCTCCTTCTTCTCATTTGGGAAGTTCTCTTCAATTATATCCATGAATATTTTCTCTGTTCCTACATCTCTCTCCTCTCCTTCTGGAATTCCTATAACTCTTATATTTCCTTTCCTCATGGAGTCAGATAGTTCCCGAAGTCTTTCTTCATTCTTTTTCCTTCGTACTTCTCTTTCCTTTTCTGTTTTGGTTCTTTTTATTTCTGTGTCTTCAAGATTACTTATTCGTTCTTCCATTTCATCTATTCTGCTTTCATTGCTTTTCCCAGAGTTCTTTAGTTCCTCCATTAATTCTTTGATCTCCTGCATTTCTCTTACTTCCCTCTTTAGGGACTCAATTTCCTTCTTCTGATCTATCACTTTTTTAATCATGGCAATTTTAAATTCTCTTTCTGGAAGGCTCAGAAGTTCTTCCAAGTTGCTGTCGTTGCAATCTGGGGAGTGGTTTTCTTTTTGTGGTGTGCTTCTTTCCTGAGGAGTTTTTAGGTTGCGTGTGGTTCTTCTACTCCCTACTGTCTGTTTTCTAATTTGTCGTATGCGTTGGGACACTGTGTTGCTCGGACTGACTGACATCTTGGGTGAACTTCTCCGCTCCCCTCTGGCTCTTCCAGGAGCCATCTCTGTCTTCTGGGGGAGCTTTCTGCTGGTTTTAGGCAGTTTTTACTGAAGAAATGTCCCTGTTCTCAAATGGCGAAGCGGGATGCAGTCCCTGCGCCTCCGGTTTCAGGCACACTCTTCTGCACACCCGGTCTGCCCCGGACGTGGGTGCCTGCTCCCTCTGTGGGCTCAGACTGCTGGTCGGAAGGGGCCTGGCGTGGAATAACTTCCCGGCTGGCCACTGGGTCCTCCAGAAACCTTCTGCCCTTTTCAAGCAGTCTTAAGAAATGTCCTGTTTTATAGGGTGTTAGTGACTTTTTTTTCCTGGTCGCTAGGTGGCGCCAGAGATCTCTCCTGGAGCCCTTGGGGGGCTGTTTTTCGCCTCCCCCCACCCCGTGGGACAGAGAACAGAGCGGGAATGGTAGGGTACACCTCAACAGCTTTGGGGTGCTGTGTCTGCCTTGTGCCCCACTGTCGTGGAGAAACCACGCCCCGAATTTTCGTGCCCCGGGTCTCAGTTCAAAGCCCTCAGTTCCAGGAAGCGGGCTGTAGCCCAGTTCAGTGGCGCGGGAATGGCGCCTTTTGCACCGCTCCCGTGCCTGGGCGCCTGGTTCCTGCTCACTCAGGGAGGGACCTTCACCTCAGTGAGGACCTCCGCGCGTCTCCCCGCAAGCCTAGGTCGTCTCCCCGCAAGCCTAGGTCGCAGGCGCGGGGACCTGGGCAGCCGCGATCCAGGTCTGCACTTGCTTTTCAAGCGTGCTGAGCGAGCCGCTTTCCCGCGCCAGCTTACCGGCAGCCCGGGCTGTGTGCGCGTCTCCCGGGGTCTTTGTTCTTCTCTAATGGCGCCCGGAGCCGTTTGCTCGCCGCCGCGGCGAATCCTGCAGGGTTCGCCTCAGCTCCCGTTCACGGGGTGTGGTGGCTGCAATAGTTCCTTTCCACTCACGGTCCCGCTTGCTAAGTCGTTTGTTCTTGTTGGCCGTTTTGGTTTGTTGTTTCCTCCTCTCTGCCGGTCGGAGAGTGCCACCTCTGTGGGCGGGGGAGGGGAGCAGGGTTCTGCGCTTCCCTCCCTTCTAGTCCTCTTTTATGGCCAGTTTCTTCTTCGGGCAGTTCGCTGGCGTCACCAGTTTATCTTCCGTGTCCCAGTTCTCACTGGGACCTGCCGCTTTTCCTCCCTATTCACTTTTTTTAATGGGAGATCTTACTCGCAGCGTCTCCTCGCCGCCATGTTGCTCCGCCAGATGTAGAATAAAATTTATGAAGAAAACACATTTTCTTAACTTTGCTGATGATTAAGTTTAGACATGTATTCTAAAGAAAAAAACAGTTATTGCCACTTATTCAGAGGTATAACATCTGCATGGAGATGAGCTGCATTATACTTTTAAACCCCTGAGACAAGTGATTTACTTACGCCTTTACTCATTTATCTTTTCATAGATGCCATTTATTAATGCTGGATACTAATTTTGGAGAAATTGTGTCTTTTTTTTAGATTATTTATGCACACGAGAGCTGGGGTAGAGGCCAGAGGTGCCGGGGGTGAGAGGATTCTCCAGAGACAGAGTAGGGAGCAGAACAGGTGGAGTAACTGAAATCCACTGCTGAGGGGAGCAACACATGAGACAGCAGAGGTCTTGCTGTGCTGTGTGATCAGCTCCCTGGCCGGGGATTGAATTCGTGCCGCAGTAGCTGTGGGTTGATTCACAGTGCTGATGCTTAGCCCTCGCCAGCAGGGAAACCCCAGAAATTGTATCTTTCAAATGTGCTCAATTTATTCCCAGAGTTTTAACATCTTGAGATTAAAAATGAAAGATAAAAGGCATTTTTTGGATATTTTTTAGTGTGTTACTTTTTGTCTCCTTGAATTATATTTACTTAAAGTGTGGTTTTCAGGGCATCTGTGGTGGCATAGGGATTAAATCTCAGTTATCTCACTGCTAAGGCCTGAGTTTGATCCCCAGCCATGAAGCTGACCCGCACAGGATGCAGCAGACCTCTCTTATATTGCCTCCTGCTCCCCTTAGCAGTGGATTTCAGTGAATCCACCTGTTCGTCTCCCTTCTCTGTCTCTATTGAGTCCTCTCACACTCCCATCCTTCTACCCTAATTCTTCTATCCCAAAAATAAAGTGTGGGTTCCAAATGATAATGGGTATAAGATTCACTGTCAATGTTTGCTAAAATGAAGATTCTCCTAGGCCTTACCTCTGAGGTTTTTAATTCAGAATACTGGAAATCTACCTTTTCAATGATACCCCATACAATTTTGATACGGGAAAAGCACTTTTTATCCATCCATGTCAATTACTCATCCACATCAACACATGTGTGAATAGATTAATGTACTACAAGATTTCTGAAAAGATGTTGTGATATCAAATGTCCTATTAATTGAGGTATTTATGAAAAGAACTTTGTAAAGTAACATGCTTAACCTTAGTTATTTTTAAATGTTGATTGTCATTATTCTGTTTTGAAGCAAGCTGGCTGTGACCATGTGTTGAACTCCAAGGCCAAGAGAGACAAATGTGGAGTGTGTGGTGGGGACAACTCTTCATGCAGGACCATGGCAGGCGTCTTCAATAGCGCTCATTATGGTAATCTGTGTATTTGTTTCCACTTTTCCCTTTCATTTGCCATGATGGAGTATATCGTGAAGGTATAATAGCAATGACTTATTATTTTTACTTCTCTAAAGTTCAGCTCCATAGTTCAAATAATTGCTAAATAAGAATTTCCTAAATACAAAAATTAAATGGTCTATCACATGTAAAGTACATTAGTAAATTCACTGCTCTTTGACAATTATTTATTAATAGTTCCCCATAATGAATGAAGTGTTTTTATTGTTCTTGTAATATGAAATGTATATATTTATTATTTTTTCCTGGAAACTCCTTGCAATATTTATCATCCTTTGAAATTCTTTTTTCTTTTGATATGGCCTGGCTTATCTGTTCTGTTTACTGTTAATTACATATTGAAAATTATCAAAGATAAAGAATGAAATCACTAATTTAAAAATTGATTGAAATTATCATGATGTTTGATTTTTCCAGGTAGAATCTGAATTGATGTATTGATATTTGACCATTTTTTTCAAAATTGTTACAAGAATATAATATAGCAGATATTTTCCATTTTAAAATTTTCTAGGAAATCATTTTTTCCTTTTATGGTAATAAAAATATTCCTTGCAACCTTCCTTGATCAACAATAATGTATTTTTTAAAATTTTATTTATTTATTTTAAACATTTATTTATGCATACAAGAACTGGGGTACAGATCAAAGGCATGGAGGGGGCTGGTGAGAGGATTCACCAGAGACAGAGTGGGGAACAGAACAGTCAGACTGGCTGAAATACACTGGTGAGGGGAGCAGCGGGTAAAACAGAAGAGGTCTGCGCCATGTGGGTAGCTCCCTGGCCATCCGGGATTGAACTTGTGCTGCAGAAGCTGTGGATAGCTTCACAGGGCTGTGCTTAATCCCTTGTGCCACCAGGGAGGCCGTAATAATGTATTTTTTAGAGTCCTGTTGTTCAGTTTCATTTTTTAGAGTCCTGTTGTTCAATTTTTGTGTTCACGTGTTCAGTTGTATTAATTCCTACAGTGAAATCAGTTTGAATAAAACACTATTTATATTTCTATCTGTGTAAAAGTATACTGCATTTCATAATTTGCTGATGGTTATCAATCTTAATTACTGGGTGATTTAACATATTATTTTTCTACTTGTTTTTATTATTTCCTGAGAGCCACATACATTCGCTCCATTATAACCAATGGTGCATATTTATCTGTATCAAGCAAAGATTTTTTTTACTGTATAAATCCACACATACTGAATCAAATATTTAAACTTTCCACAATTGTAGTACGAATTAATTGCTTGGCAGATAGAAAAAAGTTAAACCTTTGCAAAGTCTGAATGAAATGCTGCCCCCTGGTGGTAGCATTTGTCATGTCACCTTTGCAATTAATTGTTGATTGGTCACCTCTAACAACTATAATGTAGTATGTGCAAATTCATCAAACATTCAACAATAAAAATACATTATTGTTGATCAGTTCCTTTAAAGAGATATTAATAAATTAAGGCTGCTCTAAAAACCTTCAAGATAATTTCACATCAGGGTTGCAAACTAAGTTCTTGTAAATCCCCCTTTTCCTACATTTTTTCGATATTTATCAATGTTAGTATATAAGAAAAATTACAGCTCCTTTTTCAATTTTTTTAAATAGAAGGGAACAATCCTAATAAATATGAAAAAGGTAAAACTTAGAATAATATCATTAGAGCAAGGTTAAATGTTACCTGAATCCTGAGATTATTTGGATAACTATGTTATGTGCATGTTTTTAGTTTGGAGAAAACATTCTTCTTTAACACATATTTTATGTGGCAGTTCCTCATCTTTTGAGCAGTACTCACAAAATGGAAATAATATTTTCATTTTTCTCAAACTAACTTTTTGTTTTCCTCATGACAAGTTCGTTAGTAGACTTTTAACAGCTATGTGAAAGGGATTCCTATGTAGATTCCTGCTTATACTATAAGCTAAAAGCTTAAGAAAATATCTTTCTCATTAATATTGATTATTTTTCTGTTCACTGAGTTTTTGTGACTCACAAAGGCCTATTTTAGTAACTCATGGGTTTCTTATAGCACTTGAAAATCTGTTTTTTTTTCCCATTGCAAAGTATAAAATGTAAAAGTATTAGTCAAAATTAAAAATTAACGTGTATTAAATATCTAAGGAACTAAAATACTAGCTTCACTGCCATCCTATATTAGAATTCCAGAAGTAAAAAGAAAAAGACAAACAGAAAATTAGGAAAGGTTGTATCTTAAATGTCCCCAACCCTCTGGTTTTAGGTAATTACCATTTTTTCTCAGTCCTAGAATTTTGTACAAGGCATTGATTCAAGAAGAATAGGCACTATGTCATTTTTTAAAAGATAAAATGAAACTATATCTGACTCTGTTTTTCAGCTTTTCAACGACTCAGCAGTAATAACTCTGGACCATTTGTTTTTTGTTGAACTTAACATATATACAATTATATTGCAGGTTATAACATTGTTGTAAAGATTCCCACAGGAGCAACAAACATTGATATTCTTCAGCACAGCTACTCAGGAAAACCAGAAGATGACAATTACCTTGGTAAACATTTCTAGTAAACAGCAGCCAATATGTAGTTTGTGTCTAATTTCACGGAGGTCTGTGGTTGATGTAAATTCTTGGAAGGCAAGAAGAGCCCCTTGAACAAACATGCAATTTCAGTTCCTGCTGAGTTTAAGTTGTCTGGTTCCCTATATGTGTGTTCTTTCCTTTTTTAAAAAAATATTCTACATATTTTTACATCATTTTTCACTTTTGTACAATGTATGCATTTTCATCTTGGTTATAGTCCCCATACAATTCCTACCACCCATTCACCCTGCCTATACATGTTTTCTTCTCGTGCTATACATAGGTCCTGTTTTTAAAAATATTGAACCAGATTCTGAAAAGTACTTTTAAGAGTTTTGCCGTAAGAGATAACCAAAGATTATATTCAATTGCAAGTTGCATGTGTATTTAGAATAAAATTATTTTATCTAAAATTAATCATTGACCTCTTAGGAACTGAATGTTTTAAATAATTTGCTGAAGTGTTTCTATCATGTAGTAAAAACATTTAAATACATTTTTTTAAGGTCTAACAAAATAGAGCTAAGCTTTTATATTCTTGATTGTTAATGTGAAGGTCACAATATATTATTGTGTAACTATTTCTAGAATATAGGCTTTGTTTACATTGTTACTTTTTAGAAGTTAGCTTTTAGGTTTAAAGAATTTCACATAGTACCAAAGACAAAAAGAATGTTTGACAAACCTTTTGCTTTTGTCTGAGAAACACCTTAAAATTCACTGTAATTCATTAAGCTGGAATAGGTGGTGGCATAGAGCTGATGGAAGATTGCCCTGTTCACATTAATGAAATGTGAAATATTCCTCCTAGGAATAGATGCTTATAACTGGGAATCTGAATTTATAATAAACAACATTTCTTCATAAGGTCCCATATAGAGATTTCCCTTTGGGGTGATGAAAACATTTTAGAACTAAATAGAGATGGTATTTGCACAGCATTATAACTGTTGTAAGTGTATTAAATACTGTGGAATTACTTTATAGTGGTCATGCCAATGCCCCCTCTATAAAAAAATTACACTACAGTAAAATAAAGCTTATTTCCTTACTACTAATTTTCACTTACATTCTTTAATTTCTAATTATTTTCTGTGCTATTGACTGATTTTACTGTTTCATGAACACTATCCTTTTGCAGCATTATCTGACACTCAAGGGAATTTTCTTTTGAATGGAAATTTTGTTGTAAGTATGTCAAAAAAGGAAATCAACATTCAAGGAGCTATTTTTGAATATAGTGGCTCAAACAACTCAATTGAAAGAATTAATAGTACTGATCGACTGGAAGATGAACTTGTTTTGCAGGTAAATTCTCTAAAGTTGATAATAAAATTTGCCCTGACTCATATAGAACTGCGATGGTTAATTTATTTGCATTTATTATTAAATATAAAAGTGAACTAGACCTATGGTGCTGTCATTTGCTATATACATATGTCAAGGTGGGAAGTTGTGTGTCTGAAATATATGCAGTGCTGTAAACCACTGTCTTCAATTAAAAAAATGGTAAATGTAGAAGTAACATGTATGACAACAAATCAGTGTCTTTTCGTGAGGACAAAAGAGTAAGTGGAAATCAGTAAGTTCCTTGGAATCTTTTCCTCAAGTAGTAAGGGAGAAGCTACAAAGAAAATATTCTGCACAGGGCTCATGAGCGTTGTTTTGTTCCACACGGGCTTAATGGCAAACCTTAGTTGGTGTTTCACCACCTGCCTTGACATCATCTAGGACTTTGAGTGTTGAACTTAAATGCAGTCCATATGCAGTTGACTTATCAGTTGAATTACACCTGAAACTTGCATGATGTAATAAACCCAAGTCACTTTGATAGAATTTTTTAAAGACAGAATGCATATTTGGTGAATTAATTGTATGCTCCTTCATATTTTTGAGGTTTTGTGTGTGGGTAATTTATACAACCCTGATGTGCATTATTCCTTTAACATCCCTATGGAAGAGACAAGTGACCTGTTCGTGTGGGATCCATATGGCCCGTGGCAAGACTGCACCAAAATGTGTCAAGGTATATGGGGATGAAATGAAAAAACAAAGTTGGTGCATGCTGGTGTAATTTGGGGTATTTTACAGTCTGCCTTCCAGAATCCTCCCCACTGTCTAAGCAGTATATCACACAGACAGACATGCAAAGTTTTCCTGGCTTTCTTCCCTTCCTACCTTTCTCCCTACTCATTTTTTCTGTTTCTTATATTAATGGTCTCACGTATTGTGTCCTTTTCAGCAGTCCATACTGCTCCTTCCCTTTCACATTCTCAATCTCTTGGTCACACTTACAGCAAGTTTCTCAAACTCCTGTACAATTTTCCAGTGAAATACCTGTCTTCTTGACACCTCCTCTCCAAACATATTTCCAGCAACCTATCTCTTCCATATAGTGTTGGGGTATCAAACATTCTTTGATTCTTTTACTCCCCATCTGTGACCACAGGGAAAATATTTGCCCTGATAGCATGAATAACTGAAAGGATCCTACTAGGAAATGGAAAAGCAGGGAACCACAGTAATGAAAATGAGGAAACTGGAGTCTTTGATCAGACTTTAATCAGAGATACTTAATTGCATTATAATATGTTCTAATCAATAAAAATTTATTGTGGGACTACTTTGTTTCAAACTAAGACCCTGATTCTGCTTTCAAGTCTTAAAGCCTAGTGGACAAAACAGAAGGCATGAGCAAATTACTTTAATTTTAAGTGCTAAGTATAAAGCTATAGGTGTGCTTGGAGACGATCATAGAAAAGGTAGCGGGAACAGTCTATGAAGAGATAAGTTTGAAGACATAGCGAGGTTTGATAGAGTGGAAAAGCTGTTTTCATAGGGACTAGGGAAAAGGTTTGGGAATTTGGGCAGCAGAAGGTCAGAAAAGAGGATGCTTAGCTCATTGTGGAGATGAGCTAAGAGAAGGAGAGTGGCCAGAGGCAGTGACCAGTCACCAGAAATTTGAGGGATAGTCAAATGAACTGACCTCAAAGTGTTAGAGGGATGGTGTCATTCCATTCCAATAAAAAGCATAGACTTGGTCCTATAATATTGGGACAGTGGTTCTAAGGCCCAGGCATTCCTATTGGACAGTATCTCAGTAGGGAGACTGCAGTAGATGATGCAAGGCTGACTGGATGAATGATATCAGTAGAAACAAAGAGCTGGAGTAACACAGAAGGAGAAATTCATTTTGACAGAAAGACCCTGGGTATATTTTCCATAAGAGAATGTGAGTTCTGGGAACTGAGGCCAGCCTTTCAGCTTTGAGTGGGAAAGCTGTTCTGTGTTAATAAAATGGCCAACTAGGAACCAGTCCTAGGAACGAGTGGAGGATCACCCTAAAATGTGGGGAACTCACCAAGCAGACTAAATGGAAGGTTGGACAAGATATGGTGAGAAGGTTGGGGAGACAAACAAGGAGAGGTTTCTAAGCAGCTCTCCAGGGGCCTTCTCCACAGGGCACTATTATTATATTGCCCCTTTCTGAATAACATTTTGATTTCTCTAAAGTTAAATCCAGTCGATGTCATTTGTTTACTTGTTTTTCTGTGTACTGAAAGCTATCTGTCCCCAAAGCAAAAACTTAAAATTTTGTCTTTATAGTCTCAAGAACATTATTTAATCTATTGGTTTTGGTTTTTCTTCCCTTTCACTTCATCTGTTGTTACCATAGCTCTTTTCTCTTGCTCTATTTTGAATTGCTTTTCTAGACCTGCTATATGGTTGTTATTTTGAGATTCCCTTTCATTGTTATCCTGGGAATTCTCTTCAACTTTCTCCAGTGTTGGTTTCCATGTAATTATAAATCCCATGAATTCCACTTTTTGATTTCTTTCCCCACTGGGTAGAACCTGTCATTTTCTTGAAAAAGAAAGGTAATTTTTTGAGCCCTTTAATATCTGAAAATGGCATTTCCCCAAACTTACATTTGATCAGTAGATAGACTAGCGTAAAATTCTAACTTAGATCATGTTCCTTAAAATATTGAAAGCCTTGTCTGATTTCCTGTACTTGTATGTAATACTTTCTTTTCTGGAAGTTTGAGGACTGTTTAATTCAAGAGCTGTGAAATTTCAGAAAAATGTACCTTGATGTGGGTGTTTCTTTCATCTCTTTTAGGATGTTAGGGTGCCATTCTGATTTGGATACATACATCCTTTGTCTTGAGAAATTTCACCACATTATTTTATTTCTTAAATAATTTCCTGATATTAAATTTCCTCCCTTTCTGAGGTTTTTGTTTGGTTGTGTGACTTCCTGGACTGATTATTTTCTTATTTCTTCTCTCAGTTTACATAATTATTTTAATACTTCTTCTTAAAATGTAGCTTTTGTTTCATTAATGCAGTACCTTTTATTATGTATTATGAAGATATTAATCATCATCTTTAAGCTTCTTTCAGTTCCCTGACATACCTGTTTCATTGTAGTTCTATTTTGTTTTCATTCATTTTGGTCTGTGTAAGTGGCTTCCTAAAGTGTCTGCTGAACTTTGCTGGTTGTTCACATTTAAGAATTACTAAGATGCACGTTGAAAGTCCCCTGTGGCTCACACAAATCAAATAGGGGCCTCATTATGAGTATTATCAGTAGCCCTCCCATGTGTCCTATGACGGGGAGCCTTCACTGTCATTGTCAGTTTAACTTTCTTTTGGGGCTGAAAAGTCTCCCAAGAGAGGAATTCTCCCATCTTCTGATGGTTAGTGAGGAAATGGGAAAGTAATATAATTGGTTTGGAACCAGCCAGAAATGAAGAATCCAGTGAGCCTGGATCTTATAATTCAATATGGAGATGTTTACTCAGTCACCCAATTTTCAGTGCAATGCTTCCTCAACTTTCCTTAGTGTCTATACTTCAAGTTCACCTTTTCTGGAGCTGTTCAATATGGTAGTCATTGCCGCATTTTTCTAGGCCATTGAAGCATGCTCTACGTATGAAGTACAAAATGAATTTCGAAGACATTGTAACAAAGTAATATAAAATATATTATCAATTTTTATATTGATACCACACTGAAATGTTCATATTTTGGATATCTCAGGCTAAATACTATTATTAATTTCACCTATATTTTTTTAGTCTATCGATATGGTAGGAAATATACATATGTGGCTCACATTTGGTGTGTAAGGGTGGGAGGCTGATTGTTCTTTGTAAATACTTTCCAGTTAGTTCACCATCTTCTCAGCCTTCCCCTGGCACACTCACCCTGTGGGGAGCTGTTCTTGGATTCTGTGGCAAGAATGATTTGTTTTTTATTCACTTTCCCCCTCCTCAGGCTTAAGTTTCAACTTCCTTGGCTTTTTAAGTAGCTATTTTCATATTTAAAATTTCTTTTTCTGCCTGCTCTGTTTCCTTACTCTCTTTTTTTTTTTTTGTATTTTAGGTATATGCCTTTCCAAAATACCTTATGGTTATTTCAGAGGATATTTAGGAAGGAACAGATAAAAATATAAATTTATTTTAGCTAACTGGAAATAATACAGTTGACCAAGTAGAAATTCGATCATATCCTGACTACTTGAAATTCTTTACTGTCGCCTCATTGCAGAAAATATGTAGTTCACAGTCCGCTCACTCATTATATAACCACTTTTAGATTGCCTTCACTGGGGTTATGTGACATCCAAACAACTGCCAGATCTCTCTGACTTTGAACAAGGATTTATTTCTTACTCCTACTATGTTTTGACTGCAAATTGGCTATGATGCTTCTCCAGTTTGATATCTGTATGCTTGTCATTAAATATTAAAAGACTTTATTTTTAGGGAAGTTTTAGATTTACAGAAAAATTGAGCTGAAAGTACAGAACATTCCCTCCTCCACTTTCCCTATTTAACATCTTGCATTCGTGTGGCACATTTGTTACCACTGATGCTTTATTGTTAACTAAATAATGTCCACACTTTATATTGGGCTTCATTCTTTGTGTTGTACATTGCATTGGGTTTCACAAAAGTATTTTGACATGTATCCAATGTGATGGTATAAAACAAAATCTTTTCACTGTTCCAAAAATCCCTCCCTTTGTTGGGGGGAGAAGGATGTCCTGAACAAACTCCACACATAGGTTTGATGGGCCCAACTTCTACCCTAGACCAAAGAGATCCAAGGCACCAAGGATTACAAATCCCATAGTGCCATAACCACCAAAGGGAGGGTTGCTGGGAACTGAGGGTGGAGTTAAGCAGCCATGTTTGGTTTATAACCAGGCATGTGGCTTTTGGGACCTTTGGTTTTTTGCCGGGCTTCAACATGCTATTGGGGTTCCAGCTCAGCAGAACTGGTAGGACACATTCACCAACTTACCTCTATTTCTCCCTGAGTTATTCCTTTCTTCATTTCCTCTTTTTGTAAATAAACCCTATATTGACCTTTTTGTGTGTGCCTGCAGTTGAATCTCATTATAAATCCCTTTTAAGCATGTGGATGGGGACCCCATAGTCAGGCCACCCCATTTCACATTGGGGTTGCCCTGGAACACCACCATCTTCCTGAAACTGTGACAGCCACTATTCTTTTATTGACTTCTCAAGGCTTTTTCAGTCATGATTCCAAGCTTTATAGATCAGCATCATCCAGGAAAGCCTTTTTTTTAGAGATAGAGGGAAAAGGGGTAAGAAAGCAGGCAGAAGCATGAAGTGCTTGTAAAGCTTCTACTTATAGCTGATGAAGCAATCCCATCCCCTTATGTGAGTTGGTTGATACAAGCTTGATAGCAGTGAGCAGGAGGTTGCTGTAACATTGCAGCAAATGGAGATGTGTGGTTCTTACAGAGAAAAAATGGGAACAGCCATTCAGTCTACTATGTACATCAGCACCAGCCAGGCCACTCAGTTCTCCACTAAGAGTCCCCCATCTAGTTATCATGAATTTCATTCTAGTCCATACTGTCTTACTCTCTTATTCTCTCATTAAACAAACTTTCTAATCTCCCAGGATTCAGTTTATGATAGAAAGTCCTGCTTGACAAGATTAATATTTGAACTTTGTGCTGTGTTGGACTTTTTTGCCAGCTTAACTGAATACTTTGGGCTATTAGCAGAATTAAATAACTATGAAACATCTAATTACATGAATTTTCCTTTAATTTTTAAATTTCATTTGACTTTGGCCAAGGTCTTCATGGAAGGAAAATTACCTGCATCCGCAAGAGTGATCATATGGTCGTGTCTGATCAAAGATGCAACCACCTACCACTTCCACTCTTTGTGACCGAAAACTGCAATATGGACTGTGAACTAAGGTAAAAGAGAAATAATATATACTGTAACCAGTGTATTATAACTAGATTAAAGTGGATAAATAATTTAAAAACCAAAACATCAAGTGCAGGGCCTGCCACAGAGCAGACATGTAAGTAATGTTGATCCTTTGTCCCTGCCATTAATGAATTTCAGACTCACTAATTTATTGTGAAATTCAGTAATTGCTTGGAATTTTCATTCGCACTGTTTGCTGAATGCCAATAGATAGGATTCTATCAGGAAGTGGAAACATTTGTCTGTAAAATATAGGTAAACGCTAATCTGAAAAGCCATGGTTTAAAGATATGAAACAATAAATTTTGTAATATGATTCTGTTGAACTGATGACTCAATAAATTTCTTAAGTTTGTAGATTAGGGAATCAGTAGATTGATTTCTCTGATGACTTGTCAGTATTTTGTCCATTTAACATTAGGAATGTGGTCCTAGCTCATGACAGGGAAGTTTTTTCTGCCAACCTAAATTTGTCATTGGGCTTTTTTAAAATGGGTCTGAGAGTAAAGCTATGGACAGTAACCCCATAGAGCAAGTCAGTTATAACTGCAGTCAGCAAAGATAACCTCATACCATTCGCAGCAAATGGATAGAGTTGGAGGGGATGATGCTCAGTGAAATAAGCCAGAAGGAAAAAGAGAAATATTGGATTATTTCACTTATAGGAGGAATATAGGGGGACCAAATTAAGGGATAAGGAAAAAAAAAGACAAAATACTTGCAGGCAACTATGAATCAGAGACTTTCAGCAGGGGAGGAGAAGAGAAAGGGGCTTAAACAAGGGTGGGAGAAGCACAAGAGACTCTGGTGATGGTTCAGTGGTGACTTGGTGGTAGGAATTTTACAGGGACAGCATCTGACAGGAGAAATCAAACATTGTACAGAAATGAACAAAGATGTAAAATATATATGTGTATATAAAAATGATATAAAAAATCTCTGTATTTATGATGCTGTCTGAAGACATACAGCAAGCACCTAGTGATAGAACTTTGTAAATTGACTCCAGTGTAAATTGCGTTGCAATGGAGTGAGGAACAGTGAAGTATCTAAAATGCTCTTGGGGTGGAAATAAACTCTGTGAACTCTGTTTTTATGCTGGTGTACTCCTGTTATCTGATCAATTGCTTGACTACAGTGGGAATAATTTGACTAAAACCAGTATAAAAATATTTCCCCTGAAATCATGTCTAAAAGTAGATGATGTGAATTAATGAGAGTCTGATGTACTTTACAAAGATCTAGTTTGCCCATCTACAGGCTTTATCTTTATTGATGTAGTCAGATTCCCAGATGTTCCCTCACCATAAATCAAAATCATCTCGGGGATTTCATAGTGAGAGATCCCTGATAGGAAGTCAGATATACTCAGTCACAGTTTAAATCTGCCACGAAGTAATTGAGTAATCTTGATCTAGACCAGTTGGGGGAAGCCTGGGGTTCTTTGTCCTCCACAGTCTTCAACAAATGCAAGGTTGAGGTCAGTGTGTATAGTGCTGGCTCCTTGTCACCAGCCCCAGCTAAATGAGCTCGATTTGTATAGATATGGGGAGGAGGTTAGATTTTCATAAGAAAGATTTCTGACAAAAAGAACCAAGCACTTTATCCATTCAAATATACGGTATCTCTGAACCTCATTTTTAAAAAAGATTTATTTTTATTTATTTGTACTTATAAGAACTGCAGTCTAGGCCAGAGGTGTGGGACATAAGAAGATCACTAGAGACAGAGTGGGGAGCAGAACAGGTGGATCTATGGAAATCCACTGCTGTGGGGAGCAGCAGGTGAGACAGGAGAGGTCTGCTGCACCATGTGGGTTAGCTCCCTGGCTGGGGATCAAACTCCTGCTGCAGTGCCTTGGGACAGTTTGATAGCACTGTCTTTAACCCCTGTGCCACCAGGGAGGCCCCTGAACCTCATTTTCTCATCTCTGAAATAAATGTTTGGGCTATATGATAGTTAAGAACTTTTCATCTATAATTCAGAGATAGGCTACATATTTTCAGATGACTTGTTTATGAACTCTAACAGAATTTTTTGAGTCTTATGCTTTACTGGCTGAGCTAGCTGGGCAGACACCTCTAACAGAATTTTTAAAAATTGAATTGCCTGCATGACATTCTCTGAATTCAGTTACATTGGGTTGTCAGAAAAGTCATGATGCACTTTTGCATAGAAAACTTAGAAAAAATATGCCATGACTTTTCCAACAGCCCCCAATATGTCATATTATTTGGCATGTCTGGTAAGTGTAATAACACCCTTTTTTCTAGGTGGCACATCACTGGCAAAAGTGAATGTTCATCTCACTGCGGTCAAGGTTACAGGTCTTTGGATGTCCGCTGCATGAAATATTCCATCCATAAAGGGCAGACTGTGCCAGTGGATGATCACTACTGTAGAGACCAGCTGAAACCTCCTACCCGAGAACCTTGTCATGGGGACTGTGTTTTACCAAGATGGCATTATTTAGGATGGTCCCAGGTACAAATAAAAAACTTGCTTTAACAAAAGATGCCCTATTGTTTTCTAAAGAAATTTTTACTTCATTCTAAAGTATATTTTGAAATATATTTTCTTTCCATTTATCACCACTTGTTTTGAAAATCAGTGTTCCAGAAGTTGTGGAGGAGGGGAAAGATCTCGAGAGTCTTACTGTATCAATAACTTTGGCCACCGTCTTGCTGACAGAGATTGTCAAGAACTTCCCCGAGTGACGAGAGAGGACTGCAATGAGTTCCCCTGTCCCAGTTGGGCTGCTAGTGAGTGGAGTGAGGTAACCGTAACACACAAGGCTTAGAACTGTTGCAATACTGTGTAGGAAAGCTTTGTTATCTGTGACTTTATGCAATTTAAAAGTATTTTCATTTGGGCCTCTCTGGTGGTGCAGGGGTTAGAGTCTCAGCGCTATCAAGCTGTATCCAACCACTGCTGTCTGAGTTTGATCTCAGCCAGGGAGCTGACCCACATGGCACAGCAGACCTCTCCTGTTTTGCAGGCTGCTCCCCTCAGCAATGGATTTCAGTAGATCCACTTGCTCTGCTCCCCACTCTGTCTGGTGAATCCTCTCACCCTCTACCTCTGGCCGATATCCCAGTTCTTATATGCATACATAAATAAAATAAATCTTTAAAAAAAAACTTATAAAAATTATTTACTTTTATTCTATCATTTTGTAAATAACTTTCATACCAAGGCAATAAATTAAAAATGGTTTGTTCTTAAATTATTGGGAGTGTCTGGCTAACAGTGACATTAACTAGTGTTTGATCCATAGCCAAGTTCACATGAAAGTCCTTGCTTAGTAGCCTGAGATATACTTACTCTGAGATTAGTTTTGTACCTTTGTTCTAATACAGTTGAATATTGCACTGGGATTTGAGCTGCAGAGTTTTGGGTGGCAGATTTGAGTCAGTGAGTATCTCTGCAGCAGTGAAGGGAAAATGTGTTAAGGCATGATCCTGTCACTGAATTTTATTTATTTATTTATTTAAAAATTTATTTATTTATGCATACAAGAAGTGGGGGCAGGTAGGCCAGAGGTGCAGGGGGTTAGAGGGTTCACCAGAGACAGACTGGGGATCAGAACAGGCAGATCTACTGAAATACACTGCTGAGGGGTGCAGTAGGTGAGACAAGAGAGCTCTGCTGCACCATGTGAGTCAGCTCCCTGGCCAGGGTTCAGACTCAGGCTGTAGTGGTGACAGAGCTGAGATTTAACCCCTAGGCCACTGGGGAGGCCCTTGCCACTGTATTTTAATATGCAAGTTGATAATCTTTAATCTTGTAAGTGGCTTGTACTAACTGATACTGAAGATAAATAATGGTTAGTTCTTTCTTACAGTGTCTTGTTACATGTGGAAAAGGAACACATCAACGGCAAGTATGGTGTCAACTGAATGAAGATCATTTGAGTGACAGCTTCTGTGATCCAAGCACCAAACCTGAATCTCTGAGACCATGTGAGCTTCAGACATGTGCTTCCTGGCAAGTAGGACCATGGGGCTCCGTGAGTATAGTATTAGAGTTTTTCTGATTAATCTGTGTTTTCACAATAGCATACAAGTTGTTATATATTCATTCTTTTAGTGAATGCAGCTAAATTTTAGTTGTTTTATTGGGAAAATACCCCTGAAATAAAAACAAGGCTTTATCTACCAAATATTGTTAGTACTGTAATGTTGCTGTGACAATTATATTAACATTGCACTGGAATTTACATTTTTAAAATTAAGGTAACATTGATGTAAAACAATATCTAGACTTCAGGTGTGCAGACTTACAAACCAACAAATGTATATATTATATGATATTTGCTGCCAAAATTTAGTCCCCATTCATCACCAGTTGACACCTTTTACCCAATTTACCCACTTCTTTTCTCTTCTGGTAACAACTGCTGTGTCCTGATATCTGAGTGTTTGTTCTTGTTTTTTTCATTTGTTTTGTTTCTTTACCCATGAGTGGAGTTTCTTTTTCCATCCACTGACTTCACTTAGCATAATGCCTTCGAGATCAACCCATGTTGTCACAAATGGAAGATTTCATCTTTTCGTATAACTGAGCAGCATTCCTGTGTGTGTGTGAGTGTGCGTGTGTGTGTGTGTGTGTGTGTGTGGTGTGTGTGTGTACAGCTCTTCTTCATCCACTCCTTTATCGATGGGCACTTAGGCTGTTTCCAGCTCTTGGCTATTGTGAATAATGCTGTGATGAACCTGGGGTGCAAGATAGCGTCTTCATATTCTTCAGAGAAATACTTGGCGGTGAACTGGCAATGGTATCATATTTCTAGTCTTAATTTCTTTGAGGAATTTCCAGACTGCTTTTCAGACTGGCTGCACCAATTTACATTCCCACAAACAAATTTTATGTTTTCATCTGCTTTGTTTAAACTGTAAATATTTTCATTTTTCTGTATGTTATTCTCTTTACTTTATATAGTATAGCTATTTTTGAGAAGTTTTGCCAAGCAGGCAACTAGAGGATCTCTTTGGTGGCCTAGTGGTTAAGTCTCAGCATTGTCACTGCTATGGCTTCAGTTGGATCCCAGGTCAGGGAGCTGACCCACATACGATGCAGCAGACCTCTCCTGTCTCCCTTGCTGCTCCCCTTAACAGTGGATTTCAGTAGATATTCTTGTTCTGCTTCCCTCTCTGTCTCTGGGAAATTCTCACCCCCCACACCTCTGGCCTACACCCCAGATCTTGTATGCATAAATAAATAAAACAAACAGGTAGCTAGAAATTTGCAGGATAAGCAGGGAGCAGGCTTTTTAAGGGTGGCAGCTTATTTTCCTGTGGAGGTTGGCACCCACTGTTGGTGGGGAACTCATCTTCCCTTTAACTTTGTCAAGTACTCTCATCTATTTAAATTTATTTAGCTAATAAAAGACATACATAAACCAGACAGCTTTTTAAAAGTTTCCCTAAATTTTGCTCACTCTGTTTCCAAACCACCAGGTTTCTGCTATACTGATATTTTCATATTGTAACTTTTTAAAGATATATTAGCATATCCATTTTAACGTTTGTGTTTTATTAATATTGACTAAATATGAAAAAAGGGCCTCCCCGGTGGTGCAGCGGTTGAGCGCTGGGTTGCGAAGCTGCCTGCAGCCTCTGCAGCACCGGTTCCATCCCTGGTTGCTCCCTGGCCACCAGAGGAGGGTCCCACATGGTGCGCAGACCTCTCTTGCCGCCCACTGCTCCCCTCAGCAGTGCGCTTTGGTCCTTCTGCCTGCTCTGCTCCCTGCTCTGGCTCTGGTGAATTTTCTCACCCTCCCACGCTTCTGACTATTCCCAGTGCTTGTAAAAATAAATAAATCAATCTTAAAAAACAAAAAACTACTAGATCTGCATTCTTAAAAAAATATAAAAAATAAATAAATATGAAAAAATATGTGTATTGATTAAATTTGCTCATTTTCAGTCTGGGAGCTGGTGTGAAGGGCTAATAAAAGACCTGCTGAAAGTACACTAAGTGTATTAAAAAAATTGAGGTCATGTATCTTCTACATAGCTGTGGTATTTGATACCTGCCTGTATTCTTTCAGTGCACAGCCACGTGTGGAATTGGGTATCAAGTGCGTGCGGTGAAATGCGTTGCTGAGCAACTGAATACAGTGTTAGATGACAGAGCGTGCCATAGAGCCAGCCGCCCAAGCGACAGGCAGGTAAAAGACACTTCTTTATGGATCATGAACAAAAAGTTTTGAGATTTAGGAGGATTATGTGTGTCAAGACTTTTTCCATATGTATTTCCCCCTAAATTTTTAGATGTGTGTCAGAGAATTTATTGCTTCTAGTTTTGCCAGCTTTATAGATGACAATAATTTTTAGTTCAAAAATTAATTATTTAATTTAAACATTATTTAAAATTTAAAGTTATTTAAATTTAAATTCTTCAATTAGGGCCTCCCCGGTGGCGCAGCAGTTGAGTGCTGGGTTGCAAAGCTGCCCGCGGCCCCTGCGACGCCGGTTCGATCCCCGGCTGCTCCCCGGCCACTGGAGGAGGGTCCCACATGGCGCGCAGACCTCTCCTGCCGCCCGCTGCTCCCCTCAGCAGTGTACTTCGGTCCTTCTGCCTGCTCTGCTTCCCGCTCTGGCTCTGGTGAATTCTCTCACCCTCCCACACTTCTGACTATACCCAGTACATGTATAAACAAAACAAACAAACAAATAAAATAAATAAATAAAAACATGCCTCTATATAAAAAAATAAATAAATAATAAATAAATAAATAAATTCTTTAATTAAAAATTATTTTAAATTAAAATTATTTAATTTAAAAATTAATAATTTTTTCTCTCACTTGAACTGTAGAAGGAGGATCTCTATTACTATGAAAACCACAAACTTGGAAAGTGTGTTGTACTGTTCAAGATTACATTCTGTGTCCATCCAGAATGTTTCTGCTGGCTGGCATTTTGAAGGCCTGGTGCTCTTTTCATTTGCTGTCATCAGAGAGATCCAGTGTTGAAGATTTGGTCTTACTATCCATTTCTGTTCTTTGACAGTACTTCCTACCTTTGAAAAAAGTCTTTATTTGTGATTCAGCATTCATCTATTCTTGAATTAGACATGGAAGGAGAAGTGAAATATAGTATATAGTATAAATCAGAATGTTTAATTAACTGGTGTTTTATGAAAACCATTTTTCTTTTGAATAGGACTGTGTAGTTACTTCCTGCCCAATAATCCCTAAAATCAGGGCCACCTCATTACCAGCTGTTCCCATGGGAATGATGGCACAATGGCGACATGGTTCTTGGACCCCAGTAAGTGAATTACTTCAAGAAATACAGTGTTCTTATTATGAAGGCTCTAGACTTTTTTTTTTTTAAAGATTGCTACAGCTTGCCAAAGTTGAGTTATACATACATTCTTGGATATTTTGATGTTGTGGTAAAGAACACAGGGTTTAGGTTTAGGTAATCTCTAACAGCTAAGTCCTCTTATGTCTTTTAAGACCTGTGTCTTAAAATGGACATAGGACTTTGGGCAAGACATCTACAAAATGGACCTAATTGTGTTTATGTCACATGTTGTTATGAGACACAGATATTGGGCTTTTTATTAAGCTTAATCTAAATGGTCAACATTCTCACACTTTTTTAAACTTAAAGCTTAAATGTATTTGAAGGATGTACTTTACTTTAATACTGTGTTTAATATATATTAATATTATTTATATATAATATATATCCAAGCTTTAAGTATTTTCTGAATGTTTTATTTATGGGATTATATACACTCTATTATTTAGGTCTTTCATGGTTATTTTAAATGATCGTCTAAGTTTCTCTTCTATAGAATGTTTTTTGTATCTCTAATTTCAGCAAATAACTACTCAGTATTTCAAAAGGATAAGTATTTTATCCTCATTATTGTACATATTTAATTTATGAAATTTATTATCTAAACTAATGGGGATACTTACTTTATAATTTGTTTTCTAGAGAAACTCATTTTAGAAATTTGAACATTAGCTACACATAACAGATTCTGGCATGTAATATCTTGGTGTAATTCAAATTTTTTTTTAAGTGCTCTGTGTCTTGTGGAAGAGGTAATCAAGCCCGCTATGTAAGCTGTCGCGATGCTCACGATGGAATAGCGGATGAATCATATTGTGCCCATTTACCCCGCCCTGCTGAGATATCTGTCTGTTTCAGCCCTTGTGGAGAGTGGCAAACGGGGAACTGGTCGCCTGTGAGTATTTTTATGGGAATAAAATGAAATGCAAAAGTTAACTGTAATATCTGATTCTTAATGATATTGATGAAGTCAGTGCATTATCAATGTTGACTGGCTTTGTGATCAGTGTTCAGCTTCCTGTGGCCATGGAAAAGCAACTCGGCAAGTTTTATGCATCAACTACAATCAGCCAGTCAACGAGAAGTACTGTGACCCCGGCATTCGCCCTTCCATAGAACAAGAATGCAACCTGGAAGCCTGCCCGCCCACATACAACCACTTTCCAAGTTCCTCTGAGCAGCCAGGCCATTTTCCAGGCAGGAATTTTCCATTAACTCACAAACCAGAAGATAATCAAAATCAGGGAATCTATTCATTAATCAGAGGGAATCAATGGCGAACAGGACCATGGGGATCAGTAAGCCTTTTTGTTATTTTAATCTCTTATAACCTTTTAACAGATATGTCTGTAATAACATCAGATGCTTTCAATGCCAAACTTATCTGAAGATCAATCATTTAAATCTTAAAAGGATTAATCAGTTTTTCATGCAGATTACAAATCCCCAGAGTTCTTATTGAATTATACTAATGTGATATTGTGATTACAGAGGAATGTACTTAAAAACAATCTGATTTGAGTCTATTATAATAAAAACAAAAGAAAATATTTTAGGATGTAAGACTACAAATGTTTATTGAGAAATAAAAATCAGAACCAGAAATTACTGATAGCAAATGGAGGAAGCGGGATTAAATCATTACAGGGCCTAGTTGTTGAGTCTCAGCACTATCACCACTAAGGCGAGGATTCAATTCCCAATCAGGGAGCTAACCCACATAGAGCACAGCAGACCTTTCCTGTCTCATCCACCACTCCCTTCACCAGTGGATTCAGTAGATCTGCTTGTTCTGTTCCCCACTCTTTCTCTGGTGAATCCTCTCACACCCTGCACCTCTGGCCTACACCCCAGTTCTTCTATGCAAAAATAAATAAAATCTTTAAAAAAATAAAATCATGTTAAACTATAAAAGGCACAATTATAGTTCCTATTTTGCATGCTATTAATGATACAAAATAAAGGAAAACACCAGTGTAGAGAGTTATGTAACCTTTCCACTATTTTATTATTGTTATTATTATTCCTTTTTTTGTTTATGTGAGAATTCAGAACTAAATTTGTCTTAGCATTTAGGGTGAATTTTCTATTATACACTTTAAAACTTTTTTTCATCAGCAAAATTTCTTGAAGTATCTAGTAGTAAAACTCGAGTGTTTGCACAGCTTTTTGCGATTGACAGTGTGATTCCAGTGAATGGGATTTTAATGTAGAGTTTGATTTTGAGTGAATTCAGAATACTGATTTTATCTCACTATGTGACTTCAGGCTGTGGGCCTGCAATGTGTGTGACTCTATTTTGTCCCTGGCAGTGCTCAAGCAGTTGTGCAGGAGGCATCCAGCGGAGAGCGGTGGTCTGCCAGGACGAGAATGGACAAAGTGCCATTTACTGCGATGGGGCCTCCAAACCCCCAGAGACCAGACACTGTGATTCAGGACCTTGTCCGCGGTGGAATTATGGAAACTGGGGAGAAGTAAGAGCTAATATTTCCTAAATTTGTAGAGACTGTGATCTTTGTGGAAGGTAGCTGTGCTAACCACTATACCACCAATGCTCCAGCAGGACTATATTTCTGCAGACCAAAAGTTAAGTGCTTTATCCTGTTACTGTTAGATAATCTTCACTTTACTAATCAGATTTTCAACTGAGTAAAATCATGTATTTTTAAGAGATATCCTGTCATGGAACCAGTCTCTTTTATGATGTGATATACATGCTTTATTCTTTTCTGCTCGTCGATATGTCTAAACAATGACACTTTTCTAAAATTAGTATTTTAAGATTATTATTTAACCTTAGATTAGGTTGATACAAAGATAAAAAATTATTTTGATATAGATCATGTTTATATCCTATTACTAAATCACTCACTTGATAAACCTTTTTCTTTAAAACAGGTAATTGTCAATCATTGAGCATTTGTCTCACATCCTGGCATTTATCTCAGCACCAGGGCTAGGAAGATATTTATTTATTTTATTTTTTAATTTTCTTACTTCATTATTCATTTTTGTGGAGATAATTTTTAAATGGTTGTAATAAATACTAATCCCGCCTCTATTATGGATGAGAAGAATAAAGACTGACATTGGTTTGGATGAATGACATCAACCACCCAATTTAATCAGTCAAGTATCATTGCTTTGTAATACATAGTATATATTTTCTCTCCAAAGGGATTTTGGAAATCACTGTTTATAGATATACTTCTGCTATATGTTGTTTATAAAATAATAACTACCAAGTAGTTTTTAAAATGTACATTCACTATTTTATGAAATAAAGGTAACTTTGTTTCTTAGTTTAGGCATGCTGTGTGTGTGTGTGTGTGTGTGTGTGTGTGAAAGTGACAAAAAGATAACAATTTTCATTTGATGCATTTCCTGACCTTTTCTGTTGTGTTCAGAAATAGGTTTCTAGATCATATGTTGTATCCTACCTGCTGTTTCCATGCAAAACTCAGTTTTCCCTGGTTATAAATTAGATCTACCTTACAAGATTTCATTGTTACACAGTAACCTATTGATTGGATACCATACATTATGTAGTTAATACTTATTACTTAAATAAATCAATTTTGTTTCTGGCTTAATCTGCCAGACTAACTTGCTAGGCGCAAATCTATTTTATAGGCTTTCAATCTCTTATTGACGTATCTTATGGTACCAGCTCTCAAAATTTTGTCTTTTTATAAAATTAAGAAACTAAACTGCATTTTTTTTACCCAGAAAGAAATGTTGACACTTGTGTCAAGATAAAAAATTTAAACTTTAGCATTACAAATTATCTATTGAGTTTTAAATAAATCAAGATAGTATTCTCTTGAAAGGTCATAGTTCAATTTTTCTTTTTTGTTATTTGTTGGTTTTTTAGTGTACACAGACATGTGGAGGAGGAATAAAATCAAGATTTGTAATATGTCAATTTCCCAATGGTCAAATATCACAAGAGGAAAACTGTGAAATCTTCAACAAGCCCCCAAGTGTGGTGCAATGCCACATGCATGCTTGTCCTTTTGATGTGTCATGGCGCCGGGGACCCTGGAAATCGGTACGATAGTGTTCTTGTTCTTATCCTTTTATTTTATGGTGTCCTATTTAATTTCTTTTCTTCACAAACTGTGGAATGCACATTCTATATTTTCTTGTTTTTTTTTTTTTAAACAGACCATGGATCATCTTGGCTTATATAATTAAATATGATAGTTTAGAGACATAAACATTCAATTTTAAATACTGTAATATATAATAGTTTTATAAGTATTTATTTTTTATAACTGAATTTTGAAACATAACACTATGTTAATGGAAATGTTTTTCTCAGTACATCTTTGGCTTGCCCTCTCATTAATCAGAAATATTTTGCTGTTCACATTTGTACATAATGTAACATTGTCCTCGTAACAATGGCAAATTAAGGTGTGTCTTGTTTGAACATATATTGTATGTGGCTTTTGTCTGTCAATGTCTGATAAAGATCCAAAAACAAATAACACTCTTTAGGACTTTGTTTTTGTCAATGTTAACCTCAATATTTTATTTAGAAATGTGAAAATTTTTATATTAAAAAAGAGAAATTTACTTACATAAAGTAAATTAATTGTTTACTGTTTGTAACATAGATTACGGAAGAGTATGGTTTATAAAGTAATTTATATGAATATTCATTTATTCCACTATGTGGAATTACTGTATTTTGAAGGTATTTAATATTTTGTTTTGTTATTATTTTGGAGCCATAGACAATATTCATAAATATTATTTTTGAATGTTTTTTTTCTCTAGTATTTTTCAAATATCCAGTTTTTGAGGAATAATTAATGCAAAAATATATTGCAATTAGCATTTAGGATTTAGGTCACTTGGTATTTTAAATCATGAACATCCCCAAGCACAATTCTTTCAGGTGCAAAACTGATTTAAGTCTATAATTTATAATTAAATCTATAAAGCTTAAGTGGTTGTTTATGTAGAAAACACTCTGGTTTGATAACCATCCATGACACCTGTCCTTGTTTTGCTTAGCCCAAATCAAACCTTTACAGTGAGATATAAACCCAGTTTTCACTCATGCTATTTGACAAGTAGGTAAAGTTCTAGTTAAGGAAAAATCTATCTTTGTAGTCAGTGTGAGTGATGATGTGAAACAACAGAGCGTTTTAACTTTATAGGAGAATTTTAAATTGCTGCATCAGAGAGCCATCGATTTATGGGAAAGTAACAAAAGCCATCATTTAACTTGGAAGGCATTAATGTATTTAATAAAATATTTGCTAACTGTCTCTATATATAGCTTAACCACTGTTTTTACAGAGAATGAAGACACTTCTTACTCCTAAGGGGAGTTCACAGTCTAGTTGGGGAGATCTAAAATACTGTAGGATCTCTTACCATAAAATATCATTTTTATTAGTCCTCTTGGATTGGAAATCCATGTTCTTTTTATTATATCTCTGTTACATTTTCTTTCATTTGATTGGTTTTGGTTTACAGGTAGTTATTGGTATGGCTATGGAGTACCTTCTTAGAATTTTGCCCCTACTCGGGAGCAGACTCCAGTCACAGTGAGAGGTTGATGAATTGTATGGGGGTCAGCAGACTATGGCCTGTGCAACAAATCCAGCCTGGTGCCAATTTTTGTAAACAAGTTTTATTGAAACATAGTGATGCTTATTTTTCATGAGTTACTTATGGCTGCCCTTGCATTATAACTTAAGCAGAGTTTGTTAGTTGCAATAGAGAGTACAGTCCTCAAAGCCTGAATATTTACTGTTTGGTCCTTTTTGGATTTACATATATTTTTTGGAGTCACTTTTAGAGGTTTTTGATCCTTTGTTTAATATTTTAAGACTTTCTAAGGTTTATCAGCCTTCTCTAGCTATACACTATGGTGTTCATACAATATATTTTTCCAGTTTTGTTATGATGTGATTGACAGATAACATATGCTAAGTTTAAGGTATACAGCATCACACAATGCTTATTTATTGTATTTGAATGTATCTAATAATATATTCCAAATTCCAAAACCAAGTTATTTTTGGATGTCAGTGAAAAATCAGAATGTTCATTAAAATCCTGTGCATAGATAATGTTTTCAACCTCCCAAAGACAAATGACTAGGAAAATAGAAATAATCACAAATCACAAAACAGTGAGACAGAAGTACATAATTCTTCATTGTTTTACACATGGAGTTTATTGTATAATTCAGTCTTTGCACTAGTGAAGAACTATAATATCTATTTTTTTGATAAGTTGAAGATAAATTTTTTAACATCACAAATGTTTATATCAGAATTTTTATAAACTTATTTATTTACTTTCAGGTGTATATAGTACATTTATATCAATAAAGTGCCTGGTTTTCTTTTATTATATGAAGAATTTTATTCCTTAAAAATAGCCTTTTACATTAAAAGGATTTAAGGGAACTGGAGTTGTTTTTGTTTTTTTTTTTTGTTTTGTTTTGATTTTTTGTTAAAACCAGATGTAACCTTACACCTCTTTCAGTGTTGCTGTATATTAGCCAAACAGAATACCTCTTATTAACAGTCAGGTTAATGTTCTCTTTAATAGATAATTTGAATTTCATTAGATCCTGTTCACTAGTTAGAAAATTAGGAGTGTCTCCTTCTCTCTTTCTCTCCCTTTTCCTCTCCCCCCCCCCACACACACACACATACACAACTTGAATTCTCAGAAATTTTTCATTTTAAAGCAAAATTAAAATATGAAGTACTGAATCATTGAAATGTTATAAGGGATGAAGATGTAAATATGCATTTAAATTTTGTACATGTTCTAGGAAATCCTGTAATGTAATTTATAAACAAGGAATAAATAAATCTTAACCTATGTCTGTTAACTTAATGGTTGTATTTTTGTGACTGGTCAATGTGAATTGATTGTATTTTAACCCTTGTTTATTAATGACATGCTGTGGCTTTGTGCTTTGCAAAATCTGTATGTATGTTGTATTTTTACTTTTGGATTAATACCTAAAATGCTTTAAGTCACTGAATAGTTCCTACGTTGTATTGTATGCCTCTTTTCTGTTGATGCTATTTTCTTCAATAACAAACTGTTAATTTCTCTTATTAAACATTTATTGTTGAATAGTGTATGTTTCCATAATTTTACTTAGTATATGTATAAGCTACTGCTAATTTTTCAGTTAATCCTTTTGGAAACTAACATTGATTTTTAAAAACATAAGATCTATTATTTAGCTATCAATTTTTAAATTGTAGGAATTTTTGTATTTTTCTTTCTATATTTTACAAACAATGAAATAAAACTTACAGTGTAAATAAATATACTAAGATAACACTAGATGTGCTTCTGATCAAGATAGTCTTTAAAAGGTGAGTTAAATTTTATTTTTCTCTTTTTTATATATGGTAAGGAAGTATGTATCAACTGTTCTAGCAAATGCACTCTAAATAAATTCATGTTAATCTCTACATATTTTTCCACTAAGTCTCATTTAAGTGATTTGTTTTCTTAGACTTTTTATTGCTTACATAGAATGAAAGTTTGGTTGCAGAATGTATTCCATTGTGTTCTGGGGTAGTGATGAGTTTCGTACTTGAACGTTTTTGGTTCTAATGCTTTCCACCAAGATGTTTCTTTTGTAAAAAAAAAAATAGCTTTTGAACACTGTATAAGTAAAAACACAGATATACACACATATAATTACACTACACCTCTCATATGATACAATGGAACACAAAGAACAGAAGCATTTGCAGAAAGGAGCATGTGGTAGCATCACAAACCCAGTAAACCTGCAGTTTGCCAACTTAACCACTTTCTGTAGTAAAATGACATTAAGGGGTGGAGCGGGGGGCTCAATTCCACTGTCCTCAGTAGCCCCCACTCGAGGTGGAATGCACTCAGCAGCTGCCAGGAGAACATGGTAATGGGTGGAAAAAGGGTTCTTGAAACTCAGTTCTTTGTAGAGTATCCAGTAAAAACATTTATATTAATTAGTTATTTTCTTAAACCTGGAAAAAGACTCAGTAGCATAATAATAGGCTGGAAATCTTTTCCCAAATTTTCTACAAGTTAGGCATTGTGCTAGTCACCAGTGATAAACCAGACACAATCCCATGTGTGCAGGAGTTTGCAGTTTATTTTTTAAAAATATTTTATTTATTTTTGCATAGAAGAACCAGCTTATAGGCCAGAGTTGCAGGGGTGAGAGGACTTACCAGAGACAGAGTGGGGAGCAGAACAGGTGGATTGACAAAAATCCACTGCTAAGGGGAGCAGTGGGCGAGACAGGAGAGGTCCGCTGCACTGTGTGTGGGTCAGCTCCCTGGCTAGGGATGGAACTCAGGCCTTAGGGGTAAAAGCACTGAAACTTAACCCGTAGGCCACCAGGGAGGCCCCCAAGGAGAAGTTTGTAGTTTAATGATAAAAGTAATGAATAGACAGGTGATCAAAATCCAGGGTGGGAGTTATCTCATTTCAGTAGCAACTGAGTGATTTATAATATTGAAAACTCATAATATTTGGGGTTTAATAAGTCATAATATTACGAGGATTAGTCATGAGGCATGTTCCTGATAGTACAATAATTCTGCCAGTAGAATCTTTATGAAAACCTAAAGTAATAAGATAGATAACCTGACAGGAGATAGACAGTGCTTATCCACTAGAAAAATTGTTTAACTTTGAAAAATTGCAGCATCTTCCTTTTTTTTTGTTTTTGGCACAGTTTACATGCCTCATCAAAAGAGAGAGTATTGATGGATTTACAGTGTGCCCTAGAGACTATGCTCTGAAAGTAATTTTGGAGTTGCCAATGGATCTTGCACATGTGAAATGTATGACATAGGGAAAAATGAAGTAGATAATGCAATTAATGATGAGATCACAGGACATTGAGTGTATACATCTATGGCATCTGAAAAAGATGTACTGTACCAGGGAACGTCTTGTAAAGAAGTGTATTGTCAAGAGATTAGAGTGAAGGAAAGTCATGATGCATAATTTTGAGACTGGTGAAGTTTGGACTTGAAGAGAGTAAAAGGTTTGGACAAT